GGGCCAGCCCCGCTGGGATGGCAAGGCAAAAGCACCGCTTGGCCCGTCTTTCTGCTCTGTTCTGCTTTTTCCTCTGCAGCTTTGTTTCATTTAAGAGTTTCACAATTATGCTTCTAATGTGCCTTGTTAGTCACCTTGGGTTTTTTCCCCTAAATCGAAAGCTGGTAATCATTCAAAAAAAATAAATGATGGCGATCCAGGGTTCCTTTGGGAGTGTGGGAAGGAGAATGCCAGTCTTTTGGAGAGCGGCATTCCTGTGGCTGCTGAAACGCGTTCCATCAGGATATTCAACTTTATTTCCTCTGTTTTGAATAAAGACTCAGGAATTTAAAAAGAAACTCACAGTACATTGCAGCAATGCCTTTTGTGAATGGCGACTGTTAACTATCACTTTCTGTACTTTTTGTCTTATAATTCCCTCTGACCACACTAAACACACATACACCCTAGATCTAGCAATTTGAGGTTAATACTTCATGTATCTAATGAAGTGGGCAATATCCATGAAAGCTTAGGCCTGACAACAATTGTTTAGGGTGCTATCAGTGTGCATGTTTAAACAAAAGGGTGCCTACAACTTCAAGGAGGTTTGTGTATAAACAGGCGGAGCATTGTGCCTTTCAGTTTTAAGGTGCTGCAAGAGTCTTCGTGGGGCAAATAGGCTCAAAAATGAGGGATCGCTTGTAAGAGCATGCTGCCAGGACATATAATTTCAGTTCCTGGGAATCTCAGATCTTCTCTTGCTATTTCTTTTCCCCTGAGCAGAGCAGGGAAAGTTGATTCTACTCTGTTCTTGGAAAGAAGAGAGCACTAGAGAAGTTTCCAGGTTTTGCAGTTGTTTATCTTATCTTGAATCTGTTTGTTCACAAGTTGCTGTGTTTGCCCTGTGATAGCTCCTGGCAGAAGAGACACCGATAAAGGGAGAGGGCTAAAAAAAAATTAAAATGGGCTTCTATTGGTCAATATGGTGCCTTTTTGGGGCATGGGTTCAAAGCTGAATTGCCCCCTGTGGATGCTCCGTGTCTGGCTCAAAGGTGCTGCGAAACAGGAAAGGAGATGGGAGTTGAAAGTTGCTGTAGGTCAGCCTTCTGGAACCTGGCGGTGTGTTAGACTACAGTCCCCCAGCTGGCTAGGGATGGTGGGAGTTGTAGCCCAACATACTTAGATGCCAGTAGGTGGGGGAAGAACCTTGCAGGTCATGTTTGGTGTGACGTAAGTGGCACGGGAGTGAAGGAATTGTCTTTTACATGGAGTTGTCCTCTGTTTTTGAAGGATTCTCCTGTCCAGCTCTGGTTTAACAGTAAAGACCTGTAGAATGTCCCCTGCCCACCACTAGCCAACGAACAAGAAGGCGTACAAAAAAATTCAAAATTTGCATATGAACAGATTAGCATATTCAGTGCTTCTTGAGATGTTTCCTCCGTTTTGGCAATTCCTAAGTATGTGTATGTGGGATGTTTCTATCACCTTTAGACTCAGAGTCCCCGCGTCCCTGGAGAGCTGCTTAAGAGATGGAGCCACGCAAGCAGGAGGAAGGGACGTCCTGTTCTGACAGCCCTTTCGGCCTGAGGGCCAGATCCTATTTCGGAGGGCTGGACTTGGCCCCTGGGCCCAGGGTTTGGGGCCTTTCCCCAGCACTGCCCAAAGGTGCTTGCTTGGCTCCCTTCCAGAGCTGCCTGGCCTGGTTGTTTGGCTTCCTGGGACCCTGAGTTCTTTCACCTCTCTTATCTTGAATGGCTTGTCAGTTTGGAGTAATTTCCTGCTCACTTCTAGCTTCAAAGGTGGCCCGGAGCTTTGCTGATGGGGAAGACCTTTCAGGTCAAGCACTTGTTTGTTTTGGCTTTTCAAACTACTCCTGCCAAGTTGGCAAACTGATAATCTGAACTGTTCAGGGAGATTAAGGGGAAAGCCAAGAATGAAATAGGCCCTAGTTTGAATGGTGCCCTTGGCAATGACAAGCTTCCAGGCAGTGCAGAGGCAGGTGGCGAGGCTGGGGCTCGCTTGATGGGGAGCTGCAGGCCACCCCGATTCTGCCAGATACCCCTTCCCGATGCACCACAAGTGGTGGATGTTGATGAGTACGGATTAAAAGAAAAATCTTAGGTGCGCACATCTCTACCCCTAGAATAAATGAGCACATGTCTTATGTCAGAAAGGGCAGGATTCGTGGAGCAAAAACAAACTTTGATCAAGAGAGACTGCTGAGTTGGAATCTCTCAACACATCTAATTCTCCCTCCAGGGTCTTGGATCAGGACTCAAGAATGGGTAGAATTTGTCACCATTAGATTTGGATCATGCTTAGGATGGGATCTTTAATGCAAGATAAACTATTTCTTTTTCAGGAGTCTAACATGCAGGGCAACCCTGGCCTTCTCCCTCAGTGCATTTGGCCTTGGTTTGTTCTATCTCAATTTTCCACATATTTCCTAATCATTATCTCTCATCCAGGAGGTGTCTACCAGCCATCCTGGGTCCTTGCCCAGTAATGTTGCTTAGCCAAAGGAATTTGGCCAGCTATAACGATACAGTGCTATCTGCTCCCTTGCCTGGTTACTTTTTTCCAGTTGCAGCTGGAGTGCTTGTTGCAAACATGTCAGAAATTGGATGCTCTCGGTATTGTACATTATCGGCATTAGTGTAACTGATGTTCAAGGTTTGGCTTCATTTGTGAAGAGAGGAGACGTGTTGCATCAGATGTAGGTGGGACTGCAGCCTCCCCTGCCTGTGGCCAGAGAACGCACTCCAAGCGTGTGATGATGGGTCAGATCCTTGCCCTGTTATAGGTCCACAAAAGCTTGTCAGGACCATTGGATTTCAGAGAGGGGTGGAGCCGGAGAGAAAGCCTGCGTATTTCCATTGGCTGAATTCGTTAAAAAAATGTTATTTCCTGATCAGTGTTTGGAAATTTCAGATAAATCCTGGTAGAAAAACGTTGCTTATATATGCCTTTGTGTTAAAAAATCAAAGCTACTCCTCTTTCTCACAAACCAGCAGAATTCACAGCCAGGTTGCTGTTGAGCATTGCTGTTGCCTTAAGAAGATGGCATTCTTAGCTAGACTGAGAAGCTGCTGGAGGCCAATACTATTAATGAGGAAATACCTGTGTTCTCATCAGCAAACAGAAGCAAAGGTGTCCGTTTGTTTCTGAATGGACCCCCCTCTGCATCTAGTCCCACAGAGACAAGCCCCTGCTGAGCGTAGTTGTCAAACCAGACTTCCTGAATGCTTCCTCCATCAGACACATTTGCATGTTTAAACAGGATCCAAACTGCAAAGAGGTCTATGCAGGAATCAGTCATGCTTTCCATATTATTGTTACCAATATTTCAATATTGGTTTTGAACATTATGTCATGTGGAAAGTCATCAGGATGCTATTGTACTAAGATTATCTGGAAACTTAACACTCTGCAGTGGTGTAGTGACTAACAGGTTATCAAAGTGTCTGTACATGGGCTGTGATTTTTTAGTTGGAGCTGAAGTTGCAAGTAACTGCAGAGGTCCTGGGTGATCTTTCAATAAAACTGCCAGGTTCAAGGCGAAAGGGGTCTTTCCAAACTGAACCGGGTTATCTTTGCTGCAGCTGCCAGCGAGGCTTTCCTGACAATAGCAACTTGGTGGAAAAGGGCAGACAATAGTACTGCTGATGTACTGACATTGTACTGCTGCTGATGTTGCTGTTGCTATTATTATATTGCATTTATACCTTGCCTTTATTCCTTTTGCAAGAAACATAAGGAGAACATCAGGTTCCCCCCACTGTCTGTTTTGTCTTTGCAACAGCAATCCTGTGAGGTAGACTAGGTGGAGAGCCTGGTCTGAAGTCACCTAGTGACTTTCCTGATTGAATGAGGACTAGAAACTTAATCTCCTGAGTCTCGGTTTAGTAGTTTAATAAATAAGCCACACCGATTTCCCCATTGTTGCTGTGATTGTCTGAAAAAGACCATAACATTTTTGGACATATGGAATGGGACAATATAGAAGGGAAAGGAAGAACGTAAGCATTGGAACGACAGCTCTTTCCCACCTGTCCGTGGTCCCAGCTCTAGTAAATGTCCTTTCTGGCAGGGAAGCATCCGTCATACTCCTGCAGCTGCTGCCTCTTGGTCGGTGTTCAAGGACAGGCTCCTTTTCTCCTTGCTAAGAGACATTCTTCCCAGCAGGTATGCAGTTCACGTTCCTTGCAGAGGTGCCTGGACCAGACGGCCCTTCGGCCATTTGGTCCCAGCGCCACTTCAGTATGTTTGGAAATGGTCACAGGCCCAGATGATGCCTGTAGCATCAATCAAAAGACCCATATTTAATACCACCAAGTCAAATACAAGCTGTAGCATCGCCTTGCAGGATGTCATCAAAAAACCCAAAATTGTTCAAAGCAAGCATTTCCTCCTGTTACCATCTGAACACTTAGGAGACTTTTGTTAGGGAGGTATGTGAAGAAAAAAAGTTGGTGAATACAAACAAGCCAACCTTCTTAACCATATATCAGTATATCAATATATCTTGCTATTTCATTTATCTTATTTTAACATGTTTTTAAAAGCTTCGCACTCCCTTCTCACTTGTGCTAGAATGAGCCGCTCCTGCTTGCTTGCTTGCTTTGGGTTTTCCTGGCAGAATATCTATTCTTCCCTTCTACACTCACACTCTTGCACACGCACACATGTGCACACAGTTCTGTGGATTTATCAGTGTATCAGAACTGCTTTTTAGGAGCTAGTTTAGTACTAAGAGGAAGGGCCGCTCCCATTTATCAAGACAGCATTGATGGGGGAAATTGTCCGCATCATATAGCAGTCCTTCAGTTTCAGCAGGCAGGAGGTGAGAGATTTCTCAGACACCTTTACTGATGCTTTAGCAAGGTGTGGCATTTTGGGGGGGGGGGAAATAACATAGAAACAGAGCGAGTCAGAAGGGGCCTCCTGGGCCATCTAGTCTGACCCCTTAGTATGATCCCAAATAAGCTTGTTTGGCATGCATCCTGCAGCAGAGGCGTCTCCTGGGAGGTGATCTGCAGCTGAACAGCATTTGGGCATCCAAGAGGAGCAATTGGAGAATCAGTGTTTGAGTTTGGATTAGTATGGGTGACCAGGTGACTTTGGACCAGTGTCTCACCCTCAGCCAAACCCTACCTCACCGGGTTCTTGTTCTGGGGATAAAAAGGGCATGGAGAAGAGTCGTGTAAGCTGCTTTGGGTTCTTCACAAAAGGCAAAAAGGTGGGATATATATGCAGTGTTGTTGTCGTCGTCATCCCTGGCATCTGTCCCGTAGGGCTGAGAAAGTTCCCACTCTGAAATCTTGGAGCAGATGTGCAGCACCTGAGGTCTGGAAGCCAGATCTAGCTTGTCTGCATTCCAATATGGAGTTCCCCAGAAAGCCACGCTTGCTTTCCTTCCCTGCAGCCACTGATTGTTGGGTGTCTTGGCTTTTGAGTCTTGGCTTTTGTGCTTCTAACAGGTTGAAATAATTTTCTTAAGACTTAGTCCCAGGTGGTAAAACCTTTAGTCTCAAACATGCCAGTAATTTGGACCTGCCTCTTTTTTCTTTGGCTCCCCCGTCCACTGGAATGTGGCCCCTGAGAGCGTCCCTGAGATGGAATTTAGGCGCTGGTCCGAAAGATTCCACATCCCGGTTATAGACCATGCTATGCCAAAGGACTGAAGGTCTGGCTTGGTATGGGGCAGCTGCTTCTGTTGCTACAATTGGAGGGTCTCTTTCTCCTTAGAGAATCAACCTGTAATTCTCTGTGCCTCCCCTCTTCCCCCACCCCACTACAGAGTGAAGCCAATGCATGACAAAACAGGGCCCATGCACAGCCTGGACAAATTGGAGGCGTTGCACAAGGAAAAGAGCTTGGATTCTCCCAATGGCAGGTGAGTGGATTCGCTGCGTAGTGCAAAGGACAGAGTTCCTGGACCGCGTTTCTGCACTCGCCCCAGCAGAAAAGTTCTGTGTATCTCCTGGTTGCCTGTTGGGCTAGCTTGGCTGCAATTCCATGTAATTGGGAGTTGACCCCATTGAAGGGGAGAGTTTGGCGACTGGACAGGACAGCCCTTCAAACAGAGGACACCATCCACTCGTAATCCTCTGGCAGCCCCGTCCAACAGAGGACAGTCCTCTGCAAAGGAGGACAGTGTGGCCACCCTATGAGCACCATCCCATGCCTTTGAATTCCACTGCAGTTGAAAGATAAGAATGCTAAGAAGGGTTGGCTGCTGGCAGTTAACACCAGGCAGGTCTCCTGGTTGCCGTCTTGCACACTTGGTTGAGATGTACTGGATTCTTGTTCCAGTTACAATGATTCTCTCTAAATCCTCTATAAATAGCATTATCAGCATGTGAACGTGTACGCCACCCACTCTCCTCTTTTGGCCTCTGTTTTGTGATGCAGTTTCTCTTTCTGTGGTGATTTAAGAGGTGCACCAGGTAATCAAATGTTAGCAGCCCAGGACTTACTAGCAAGTAAACGGACATGATGCTCTGCAAATTGGGTGACTGCAGTTAACCTTTTTCCGGTATAAATAGAAGCCAAGCACATGGACTGGGGAGGCTAAATGTTTCTTCCCGGTACCATATGTTCAGTGAAAATCCCTCTCTGCCCTTGAAGGAGTTAATATCCGCTCCACCGGCAGAGTCATTTGTGCTGGGAAGGGCAAGGGGCCCTCCTGTCCCACTCAAAACGTTGGACTAAATTGTTCCACATAACGCTTTTTGTGTGCCTTATGATGAATTTATAACTTTCCTTCCAGCGCAAAATTTGCATGCTGGGGAAAACCCAGCAGGGCAAAGTGCAACTTAACATTGCAAAAAAGTCATAAAAAGGAAGGACAAACAAAGACAAACAAACTGTTGATAAAATCACATTCAGCTTTTAGGCACATTCAGCTTCAGAAGCTTGTCGAAGCAAGTGGGTCTTTTTAAAGTCTGCTTTTATGAAAAGGCCGAGACCCCACATTGGAGAACTTCAGCAGACAGCTGTTTCCATAATCTGGGAATCAGCCATGTGGAATATCTGCTTGGCAGTGTCCAACAACCTAACAGATGACTGTATCGAGAGCTCCTCTCAGCTGACCCTTAAAGTGTGGGGAGAGATACGTGCGCCGGGTTTATCTGAGCGAGACAGAGAAGATGCCCATGAGCAGAGCCTTTTTGTCTTACAGTCTGCAGCTGAGTGATGCCGGAAAGGATGAAGAGCTAAAGAAAGGCCAAAGAGAAGTCACGGTGAGTCTGCGGCAGTTTGACATAGTTTCAGGTTCATCCAAGGGCTGGGTATAGCTCAAGCGTGGGTTGTTCTCGAGCCTAGGTTGCTGTTAAAAAATGGGTTATTGTGTCCAAGCCTGGCTGCATGAATAAACCATGGTTTATTAGCCACAAATAACCCATGAAGAGAACCCATGGTTTGGTGTTGGGCTGTGACCTGTGGGTTGTTCGTGGATAGCAAACTAGTTTGATAGCATGGGTAGGTTCAGACAACATGATCTCGATGTTTCAGTGATAACACAGTTCAGCAGCATCCTGCACTCCACCTTTGTCTGTGGATTCTCGTGTTGTCTGAAAGCAGCCACTGCCACGAGGGCCTGTAGGGCAGGGTTGAGGGGGTGCTGCTTGCATCGGGGCCATTTTTTCCTTGGAAGCTGCCTGCCCTGCTGGCTAAGCTGCATGCCTTTTATAGGAGTCGTAGTCTGAAATACCTGGAGAGCACCAGGTGGCCTATCCCATGGCCCTAAACAGTTTAGGGCCTGGTTGCCTGAAGGAGCATCTCCTTCCATATGTGCCTGCCTGCCCCTTAAGATCTGGGGCAGAGGCCCTTCTCCGGGTGTCCTCCCTGAAGGAGATTGGGAGGGTGACTACCCAGAGAAGGGCCTTCTCTGTGGTGGCACCCCGATTGTGGAACACGCTCCCCAGAGAGGTTTGCCTGGTGCCGTCACTTTATTCTTTTCGGCCCCTGGCTAAAACCTTTTTATTCTTCCAGTGTTTTAAGATTTGATTGTTTTAATTGGGGCATTATTGTTGGTTGGAAATTTTATCAGGGCGCTGTGTTTTATTTTATTTTACATTGTCTTTTTGTTAAACTGTCCTGAGACCACAGTAAGGGACAGTCTAGAAAAGTTTTAAATAAACAAACCGTTCTCTAACTTGCTATTTTCCTGATAGTTTGCACTTCAATTCCCCATCGCCCCAGCCAGCATGACCAATGGTCAGGAATCCTGGGAGTTGTAGTCCAAAATATCTAGTGGGAACACGGGCTTGCAGGGCTGCTTTTCCATACTGTGCAATGGGTCCTCAGTACTTCCCACTCCAGGCAGTGTGTTGTCTGTTTCCTGACTTCTTTGCAACAGTCCTGTGAGTGAGCAACCGCACTCGCTTGCTTGCATTTGCAAGCAAAACCCCCAGAGGAGTAGTAAACCCAAGCCAAGACCTTTGTCTTGATGCCTGCCAAGACTCCGTTACTGTCCTTTGTGGTTGTGCTCTGAGAGCCTGCCTGAATTTGTCTGTTTTTATTTCTAGCCACCAAATAAATACAACTCCCAATACCACAAGTTATTCAAAGACATTCCCACAGAAGAGAGTGTGCTTAAAGGTGAGTGGCAAATGCTGTTTTGTTTTTTGTTTTTTTTTGGGGGGGGGGGACAGCAGCAGCAGGAGGCCCTGGAGGCCATCAGAAATCCAGAGTTCAAACAACCTCGCCAAACAGCTGTCTGGCCTGCGCTTCAAAACCTCTGGCCAAGGAGAGCCTATCATTTCTCTGGTTTGGGGTGGGCAAACTGCAGTCTTCCAGGATCCACCTAGTTTATTTTTGTACTGGACTCCCAAGTTCTACCCATCAGAACTGGGTGCAGAAGGCAAGTCCTTCAGGGCGTTCTGAATCCAGGCATTCCTTCCCGTTAGCCCAGCTGAGTGGCGTTCCCAGTCCTTGCACACAGAGAGTCGCTTCTGCGTAGTTGACCCAGGCGGTCTTCATTTTAGCTGCAGCGTTTAGGCTGGGTGGAGAGACATTTTGTGGCTGCTTTTCTGCGTGTGCGGAGAATGAGGAGGCCAGGCAGTCCTCTGCAAAGCACCCCAAGCTCTAGCAGTGGGTCCGGATTGACCTTGTGCACCCCCCCCCCCTGCACATTTGGTTCTCTCCTCAGCTGCTCTTACCATTCGCAAGTTTGCAACATGGAATGCTGCATCTTGAGTCAGGTTGCCAACCAGTTCAGCTTAGTATTGCCAACACGGACTGGCAGAAGTCCTTCAGGGTTTCAGGCAGGGCTTGATCTGTGGACCTTCTGCCTGCCAAGCTGGTGCTCCACCACTGAGCCTCTTTTCTCTTGGGAACATTAACGTCCACCCCAAATCTCCCCTCCTTTCGGACTGGTAGCTGTGGACTTGCTCTCTTGCACTGAAGAGGTCCAGACTTTGCCCTCTTTTTTGAGGGGGCCCTCTACCGGTGCTAAGGGGGAGCTATCAGATTTTCTATTAGCTCTGTTTGCCAGGCTAAATGTTCCCCTTCAACCTGGCTGCAAATCCCTTGCTTTATTTATGTATTGTATTTGTATGTCCGCCCTTATACTCCAAGGGCTCTCTGGGCGGCTTACAAAAAGAACCATAAGCAGCCAGCATAAAACCCCTAAAGCAAGAATTTAAAAAAACAGCTGAGCAAAAATGAATCCAATATCATTTAGAAGACGGGAAAACATAATAAACAAGCAATGAAACATAGTGGGATAAAACCAGAGTAGCTGTTAAAAACAAGGGTTGAATAAAAGATGTCCTAGCCAGACGACGAAGACGAGGTTGCGAAGGTGCCCAGTGCACTTCCTCAGGGAGAGCGCTCTGCAAGCGGGGCCACAGCGGAGAAGGCCCTTCCCCCAGCTGTCATCTTGACCGCCGGGACTGTTCTCCTCTGACTCTCCTTCCAGTTTGCGTGCCGCCTCATCGAGCGGCGCCTGGAACGGGATGCGGTGTCCATGTCCGTGCTCCAGAGGGGGTCTGATTCGTGATGCAGAACCTCTTGTTCTTGCAATCCAGAAATGGCCGTTTGGTGCATTCGCTCTTTTTTGTCACGTGGCTGATTTGGCTTTGGCTTATGATCAGACACAATCCGGGGACTTTTCTTTAGGGAAAAGAAGATGCGTTTGCAAAACTGCACTGCTCCGGCAGGGCCGTCCCCGGGGAGAGCGCAGTCCAGTGAGCCCTTCGGTCAAGCTCAAGAGAGGGCAGAGACGTTGCAGCAACCGGGGATCAAAGGCAAGGGGGCGGAGCCTCAGGCAAGGCCAGCCCACCTAGGGTGCCTCTCTGACCCCCTGGGGTCCGCCCCCCCCCACTCCCTTTCCCCAGCCACAGAGCCTCTGGGCGTTTTCCCTGCTCTTCGCAGCTTTTCCTCATTCTGAAAAGCTGAGGTGCCTCTGCTCAGATTTAGTCAGTGAAGGTAAAAGCTCTTCCTAACCTAGGTTGACGTGTTGCCGTCACCACATTGCCTTTGCTCCTGTCCACTCCTGGAGTGCAACGCCAAGAGTAGGGTTCAGCTCTGGGGCTGAAAGGGGTCAGGCACCCCAGTTCGGAAGGGTCAGGAGCATTTGACGAGGTCGAGGGCGGGCTGCCCTCAGGTACCGAAGGAGGCAGGACTGGCACTGAAGTGCCGTCCCTCTTGGTCGAATCTCTCTCTGCGCAGCTCCTCTTAGAGCATGGCGAACCTACTTTGGGAGATGGCTTTGTCTGAAAGGCAGGATAACAATAGCCGTGACGTTGTGCCCACATCCTTTGTTGTCTTTTTTGAAGTCTGTTCCTGTGCCCTTCAGAGAGACATTCTCATCCAAGGCCGGCTCTACATTTCTCCAAACTGGCTTTGTTTTTATGCAAACCTTTTTGGCAAGGATATCAAGGTGAGTTCTGATAAGGCATCTTTTGATAAGGTGGAGTTTTCATGGAGTGGAGTGTGCATTTGGAATGAGGGTGGACTCTACACAGCCCCTGACAAATTGCCTCCAAGGCATGTGACCCCTTGCAGGAAAATGTCCCTCATCCCAGACTAGAGTATTTACAGAGCAAGTCAGCAAGTGGGAGGAGAGAGGCACAGGCTTGGGGCCATGATGCAGACCACTTCTGTGCCTTTGCCTATTTTTCCTCTGTTAAGGTTTTTTTTTTGGGGGGGGGGGGAAGGTGGAAGCCTAGTTCACCTTCCTGCTTAAAAGACTTCAGAACAGACCATGGCAAAAAGAGCACATTAAAATAATAGACCAGCTATTACAAACTACTGAACATTAACAGACTAAAAGTGGAGAGAGCTAAAACAGATGAAATTTAAAGCTGGGTGTAGCATTAAAAGCAGCAGTTGCCCAAAAGCTTGAGACAATTAAACTGTCTTTATTTGCTCCTAAAGAGGCCACTGTGCCTTCTGGAAACAACTTTTTCCTGCTTCTCTTTTTAAATTCTCCAAGAAAATGGCTTTGGAGTTGAGCCTGTTTCAGTGGCATGTGGGGAGCCGTAACTGAATTTGATGCAATCCAGAACACCAGTCTTTCCACTTGAATTAGGGTTTTGAGGTTATCCAGTAAACAGTGCCGTAACTTTCTTCCTTATTTAGAACAGACTTCCTTAAAACAGTGCCAAAGGGCGGAAATATTTATATAAAGGCAGCACTACCTATTTAAATAAACGTCACAAGGGAAGAATGTGAGTTCCCACCCCCAACTTCAGCCCATTTAGTGGGGTTTTCTAGTTGGGGCACGGCAGCTACTGTTGACTTCACCCTTGACCCTTTTCCCACACGCCTGCCCTGGACTGCCCAGGTCCCTTGGATGCTTGGCCAGGTCCCTGCTGGACCATATCGGGCAGGTCTGTGTTTCTCCCCCTTGCCTTCGACACTGACCAAAGGGATGCCTTACCTGTCCAGACAGCTTTGCTGAGCTTCCTGTTCCATTTCTGAGGCTGGGTGCAAGGTACTGTTTCACTGGATGAGCAGGGCCAACTCCGTAAGAAAACCAGAAGAGCTTCCCGTCCAGTTTTCTGATCAAGCAGTGCCAAGCGACTGTCCGCTGAAAACCCACAAGCAGGCCATCGGTGCCGGAGCACCCTCCTGCCCATGTTCCCCAGCCCCTGGTGCAAGTAGTCACGCAGCTGCTAATACCAGAGCCGGCTGATAGCCATCGGGACCAGCACGCGTGGCTAGATTTCTCCTCCAGGAATTTATTCAGTCCTGTTTTAAAGCCCTCCAAGTGGGTGGCTGTAACTTTAGCGTGTGGCAGCAGATTCCATTGTTTAACTCAGCGCTGTCTGCAGGTGCCCTTGCTTTTCTGTGCTCTGCATCTCCCACCAATCAGCTTCACGGGAGAATCTCACTGCATTTTTAGCAGAGAAGGGGGAAATGCCACCCTCTCCTTTCTCCTCTGCATGCACCTCTCCTTTCCTCTTACTTGCCGTCATTCGAAACCAGGCAGTCCCAGAGTGGCTGCAGCCCCTTGAGCATTTTGGTTGCCCTTTCCTGCACCTGTCCCAACTCCTCCATCCCTGCTGCTGCTGCTCTGATCCAGTGTCCTGTACTTGATATTAAACATACACACATAAAGGGAGATGGGGCAACCTCATTACCTTGGGAAAGGCCTGCCGCTTCTCATGTCCCAATACCAGCAATGTCCCCTGGCCCCCGGGACTCATATTACTCTCCTGGGTCCTCGGGAAGCTCAAGAAGCCAGTGCCAGCAGGAATGCTTGCTGGGTGACCAGCAGTGGCCACGGGGGCTTTTCCTCGGAACGCAGCAGCTTCATTTGTGGTCTGCATCTTGGTAGCTTTCCCCAAGCACAGTCACCTTACTTACTGTGGTTGCAGAATGCCGGTATCCCAAAACATGGTGTCTGCCATGTTGTTGTGATAGGAGCTATTTTCACCCACGGTGCTATGGACTAACCTGCATGGCTAGATTTCTCCTTCAGGGATTTATTCAGTCCTGTTTTAAATCGCTTTGGAATATCGGCGATTGCAGGGCTTTGCACCTGTGGAAATCCAAGATGAGGGCTGCGTGCGTCTGTGCGTGTGTGTGTCTGCTCTTGAGAAGACTTCTTCAAACCCGGGCCCAGTGCTGCTAGTCTCATGCAACTCGGGGAGCAGAGGAATGAACGAAAAGGGGCTGCAGGAAGGGTGTCCAGCCGATCAGTATAACTTCCGAGGAAAACTCTTTCAGAAGGGTTGGCAAATAGCAGGACACGGGGAAAGGATGAAGTGGCCCAGCCTGTTGTGCGTGCGTTGCTTTTTGAAAGTCTTGGTGTGGGTGTGCACCGACCTTTTGCCTCCCTGTGAAAGAAAAGTCATCCGAAGTGTAATGGCAAGGAGCCCATGGTGGGCGCTACCCAGTGGGGCACTTAGCAGAAGTACCAGCTTGCAGAACACGCACATTTATTCCCATGGTGTTAGTTATTTTGAGGTTTTATTAGGTGCAACGTGAAGAACCTTACACACACACACACACACACACACCCGGCAGCCATGTCTGTCAACCAAATCTGGGCATGTATACACAGTCAGTAATGCTTTCCTGCTTGTTCCTTTACATTTCTGCAAGTCCTGTGCATAGCTGGAGTGATGAGAGCTTACCAGCCCAGAGGTAGAAGAAATTACCTCTGGGAGGTCACCTTAATTAGTCCACCACTTGATAGGCTTGTTCACAAGCAGTGCCTGATTGGAGGCAACAGGCCCGAACAGAGTTCCTCCCTGGGCAAGGAAATCTGACAGTGAGGTGTGATAGCTTCCATATAGTCTGAAGTACCTGAGCCTGCCTCATCTTGGAAGCTAAGCAGGATCAGGCCTGGTTGGAATCTGAATGGGTGACTTAATGTTGAGAACAGTCCACAGAGCTTCGGCTAGGGGCAGTATAGAAATGTAAATAGTTGTAGCAGGGGTGGTGGTTAAAAGTGATGCGTTGGAACTTAGGAGATCTGGGTTTTAGTCCCCACTCAGCCATGGAGCTCATGAGTGACCTTGGGCCAGTGCCAGACTCTCAGCCCAACCTACGTCATAAGCCTCTTGTTAGGAGGATATGACTGAGGAGGAGGAGGAGGAGGAGGAGGAGGAGGAGAATTATGTAAGCCACTCCTTCCTTGGAAGGGAAACAAGGGATGTAAATGTAAGAATAAATAGGAATCAGAATGGCTTCCTTCCAAAATAAATATAGCTAGGATTTGATGATTCGGCAGTCAATAACCAGAAAACCAAGAAATATATTACCCTCTAGTCCATTCATGCATATCTGGCAACTACCTCCTCCTTTCCCTGCTTCCATTTCCAGGTGGTTATTCCTGTTGTGTCTGTCCAACTGATAAAAAAGCACAAAACGGCCCGGCTCTTGCCAAATGGACTAGCTATTACTACCAACGCCAGCAGAAAGGTAAGTGCCATTGGCCAGATCTTCCCCCGTCTTCCCCCACCAGCACCGCTCCGGGCGTGTCAGGCACAGAGCCATACCGCTGCGCAGAAAAGCCCCAGTGTTTTCCCTCGTGCAGACGTAGCGTAGCCGGGCTTGAAGGTCTTCTTGCCCTGTGAAATTTAAAATGCGTAAATAAGCGAGGAAAAGAAAACCGCACGCGGCAACTAAGGTGCAAACATACAACCCACTGGGCCCTGTTGCTCAGTGAGGGTGTTGCAGGTTAGCTGCCGGTGGATCATAGGACGTTGGAAGAGTGGGGTCGGAAGGGGTCGGAAGGCCGTCAGGACCAGCGCCCTGCTCAGGGCAGGCCTGCACACGCTCCCCAGTTCCATTCTTGTACAGCTTCAGCAGTCAGGAGTTTTTTCCCGATCTCTAGCTGGAACCCGGCTTCCTGTAACCTGAGCCTGTTGCTCCGTGTCTTGTACTCTGGGAAGATTGAGGTGAGATCCTGGCCTTCCCTTTTGTGACAAGCCTTCCAGTACTTGTGGAGCGCTACCATGCCTTTCCTCGGCCTTCTTTTCTTGAGGCTAAACATGCCCAGTTCTCGCAGTCTCTCCTCACAGGGTTTTGTTTCCAGTCCCCAGCTCGCCCTTGTTGCCCTCCTCTGAACCCTTCCCAGCTCGGCTGCATCTTTCTTCAACTGTGGTGCCCAGAACTGGACACCGGACTCCAAATGAGGCCTCACCAGTAAAGGGGAACTAGGACTTCACATGATTTGGAAGTGATACCTCTAATACTGCAGCCTAAACTAGCATTTGCCACTTTTGCAAAGCAAGTCCAGAATCGCATTCTGGACTCACATTCAGCCTGGGCTCTACGGCAGTTCCAAGATCCTTCTCATGTGCGGTGTTGTTGAGCCAAGTGTTCCTCATTTTGTAATGACTCATTTTTCCTAAGTGAAGGACTTGGCATTTGTCAAAAGTCCAGGTCATGGCTTGTCACTGTGTGGGCGATCATACACTTTCCGTGGGAGAGGCCCTCTCACAGGGATCATGCCACTGAGTCCCATGCACACCCTCTGTCCAAAAAGAGGAAACCCCTGTTAGTCTTCAGGGGCACAAGGTGCCCTGAGCCGCCTCCTGTTGGATTCCTATCATCTGGTCTTGTCTCCAAGCCTCCAGGCTTTCTGGAGCTCTTGGCGATCTTCCCTGGCCGCTGCTTCATTGCAGATGGGTTTGACTACCACCCCAGTTGTCTCCAGCCACACTTAAGACAGATGCTGTAGCCCGGCATATCCGGAGGGTTCGGGTTGAGGAAGGTGGGAGTGGAAGGTGGGAGAAACTTTGGACCAAGGGTCAAATCCAGCCTGCCTGCGGTTCTATTGCTTTTCCCCTGACCCCAATCCTTGGTGGTTTCCCAGCTCCTGCGGAGGGTTTTTCCTCTCTTCTGAAAGGTTGAAAAGCCTCTCCTAAGGTGTAGGAACCAGCAGTATGAAGTTTGAGTTGAAATATGCCAGTCTTTTAGCCCTTCCCTTTTGCCCTCAGCCTTACCTGCCATAGGTATGCAGCCCTGAGGGCTTCTTCAGAATGGAACGATTCTGGCCTGAAATATGGTCTTCCGCCTATGTGAAGGTGTCACGAGCCTTTTGCTTTTTATACCCTCAGTGTTTCTGTGTTGCCAGCTCTTCTGTGGTGTCTTCTGACATCCTGGCCTTTTGTTTCCATGGTGCATGGCTCCCTTAATAATTGAAAATCCCCTTTCCATCTCTTTGATCTAAATGGCTCCTGATCTTTTCATTCCTCCATTTCTTGAATCGGTTGCGTCTCCTCTGAGACAGGCCTGCCTGATCTCCTGTTAGTTGTCTCCTGTGAGCAGCTCCGCCATGCAGTTCTTGCAGCTGAGTGTGGAGCTCATCTTTCCTCCTCCCTCGGACAAGTGGGGTGAGGGGAGGGACGTGGCCAGGGCACTGGGCAGAAAGGGAAGTCTGGTCCTGTGGAAATCCCTCTGCAGTGGGAGATCACAGACCCTGCCTCGAGAGTGAAGGGCTTAAACGCGGGTACTCTGCCTTTCAGGTAGCAAAACTTGCCCATCAGGGTTCCATGCAGAGTAAAAAACATAAAAGAATTGCAGTCAGGCTGCAAAGCAAATTGAAGGCAGGAAATGAAGGCAACGCCCCCTGTTGAAACTTGACGTGCAGGGGTGGGTGGAATGTGGCTTTTTGTTGGAGCCTTTTCACCGCAGCTACATGAATCTTGGCTTTTTGGTGCCTGACCATCAAATTTTCCTTTCATGGACTTCCTGAGCATGAACCCTGCAAAACGTTTCCGGATACATGCATGCTTTCCCCTCCAAACCACCCCTGGGATGGGGGCGGGGGGTAGAAATGGCTTGGGGAGAAAGCCCCTCCCTGCTCGGTCAAGCCCTGACTTGTGTTTCATTGGCAGGATGGACAGTTGTCCTTGCACAAGACCATGTCCTGCTTCCTTGAGGTTTGGCCGGCTGCTTCTTAACCTCTGCTTAACCTTTGATGCTCTCCAGCGATCACACTATACCTCCCATCATCCCTGATGCATGCTAGCTAGAGATGATTGGAACAGTAGTCCTACATATCCAAGTGGGCACCCAGTTGGGGAAGGCTGCTGTCGGGGTGGGACCGCTTTCAGCCTGTGGATGAAATTAATTTTGCATCAGTGCTCGGGGATGTTCCAGTGGTGAGCAGGGCCAAGGCCAGAAGAGGCAGGGCCAGTACCCAAAATGCCATCATATTTCTATTTAATGTATTTGCATCCAGTAAATAAGCTTTAGGAAGGGCATTTCAACCTTTTTCTGGGGAAAAATACAGAAAAGCTTGGAAACCAGCAAACAATTGGGGGTTGGTGGAAAGTGGGGAAGGGACTGTGGGTTTCTGTGGTTTCCCAGGGAGTCAGGCTGGGAGCCTAGATCAGCCTTCTCCAACCTGGTGCCCTTCAGAGGCATTTGGACCACAGCTCCCAGAATTCCCATCCAGCAGGGCCGTGGACTGAGAATTTTGGGTGTTGCAGTGCAATTGTTTCTGGAAGACACAAGAGGTTGGGGAACGCTGCCTGAGAGTTCTGCATCCCGGGGAGCAGCCTGGCCAGCCCCTTCCCCAAATACTTTCCTCGGACTTTGTGCTTGGGATCGGACCACTCAGTGCTGCCCGTTTTCCTTTATTTCCAGTACATCTTTGTGTCCCTGATCTCCAGAGACAGTGTGTATGATGTCTTGCGAAGAGTCTGCACCCATCTGCAGGTATTTCTTGCCGCGGCTTCTACTTACTTATCCTTCTGTTCTGTTCAGATCCCACCTCTCGGGCAAAGCACAGCTCTCCAAGTGGGTAGCAGCACACAGCTCTCACTCCCCAGTCCCCCCATCCTGGCTGGGAAACACTCTCTGTGCCATAATATAGAGCCTCTGCACAAGCAAAAACAATTGTTTTCAAACCTCAGGTCATTCTGAGAAGGTGGGATCCTGCTTAAATTAGGACAGTTAGTGCCCAGAATGAAGGTTAATGATAGAAGCTTCCCGGCAATAGGCTCTGTGCAAGAGCAAGGCTCATGTGTGTGAATGCACAGATGACTGCTGGAAGAACAGCGGTTACAGGTAAGCAACTTGCTTTTCCCTTGCAAGGATCGGGGGCTCAAGAGCCAGTGTGTGCACCACATCTGGCTTGGGGCCAGCTTCTGAGAGTTGTTTGTGGCTTGATAGACTAAGGGGGTGGTGCAGGCCGAACATTTCCTCCTCCTCCTCCTCTTGATTTGTTGGTTTCTCGCTAAAATGGGAACAGAGCCTTCTCTTGCTGCATGAACAGTAATCATAGGACTTGGCTCTGATGAGTCGGATCTGCCGGTTCTATTTACAGCGGGTGTTGCGGTGCCCATGGCGACTCCAGTGGGACTGTGTGTGTCCGGCTTTTCTCTTCCAGCACTCGGGTGTGGTGTTCGGGCAAGGGGGGACTTCCCTTTTTAGTTGTCTGGGTGAAGCGTCAGCCTCGAGGGTTTCTTGAGACACAAGAACGCTCAGCTTGGAACACTCAAAGGCAAAAGCCGTGCAGCGGAACCGAAGAGAGACGCCTGCAGAGATGTGGGTTTTCTGGAAAAAAAACTGGAGCCTTTTTATATACTCGTGATATGAATTTGCATAGGATCACCTGCATTAGAAAAATTTAAGTTTGCACTGGAGTGTTTTCTGATGGCCCAATTTGGTAGTATAATTTCACAGGCATATTTTACTTGCATTTAGTATACTGCCAGATAAAAGAAAAGCTTTTGAGCACCAGGGTGGTGTCGTGGAGTGGTTAGGAGTGCAAGGAGAGGCCCAGGTTCTAGTCCCCACTCAGCCTTGGTGCTCACTGGGTAACTGGTGGTTGTTGTAAGGATGTGACCGAGAGGAGAATTATGTGAGCCGCTTTGAGTTCCATGGAAGGAAAAATGGTGGGGTAGAAATATAATAAATAAATAAAATATTAAAGATTATCCATGTCATTTTTTGTCCCATTTCAGGGCAAGCTAGACATGCACATGGTGGGCGTGTCGTGAGTGGAGCCGGCTGGAGCCAGGGGTCAGACTAGATGGCCCGGGAGACCCCTTCTGACTCGCTCTGTTTCTATGTGTCTATGTATTTGACCTGTAATATTTGAAGGGAGTGCAAAGTTAAGCTATATTTAGGCTTCAGTCTTACACCTACTCACTGAGGATGAAGCTTCTTTAACACAGTGGTACTAGTCTGTCTCCGTAGGCAGACATAGGATGTCCCTCTTACCCACAGAGATAATAGACTCGGGGGCACATACTGCGTCAGTAATTTCTCTGCCTTCCCAATTCTCCACAGGTTTCGAGCAAAAAGAGCCTAAGCTTGAAAGAATTGACTGAAGAGCCCGATGCGGTGTCACTGGTAAGACTTAAGTTTCTGGGAGGAAATCAAAAGCCCTCTGAGCTGTACAGTTCCTCACAACAGGCCTTTTGTCACTGGGCGGTTTCTGCAGCGGATCTGAAATATTTTGGAGCGGAGGAGGCCTGGATGTGTAACCCTTTGCTAGAGGAGTCAGTGCATGAATCCTGCCTCTTGGCTCGCCCTCAGTGGCTAAGAGCAGAAGTTATCTGGCCTTATCCATGAGAAGCTTTTAAAGTAGCTGGAGATGGAAAGAGGAGCCTTTCCCTCTCTAACTGCAGATGATCAAGCCCAGTTCAGCCTCCCCTGAATATGCCGTTTACTCTGATTGTTTGCTTGTTTAATCATCTTGCTTTTCCTCCAAAGAGCTCAAGGCAATGCAGATGGTTCTCCCATTCCTTTAGCCTACCTGTGAGGTAGGCTAGAGAGAATGACAGGTCAGCTTCAGTGCCGAGAGGGGATTCAAACCTGGATCTCCCATGTTCTAGTCCGATAGTTTAACCCAGCTTTCTCCAATCTGATGGGCTGCAGATGTGTTGGATTGTACCTCCCAACATGCCTGACCAAAATATCAGGGGGAAACCAGATTGAGGAAGGCCGCTAAAATCGCTGCACCACACTTGGTATTTTTCTGGTTCAGGTATAACGCTGCAGATATTTTAACCATGGTTGCGAGGTATGGGACTCCTGCCCTTCACTCCTGCCCTTCTCTTCATTCTCTCCATCTTCTGAAGTGCTTCCTAGTTTCTTTCCCTCTGCTTTACACGTGTCCTGCCATAAAGTCATTTAATGCAAACCAGACACAGCAACATAGGTTGAACTGTCCTTGCAAAACGATGGTTTTGGTTCAGTCCATGCAGAACGCTGTTAGTTTTGCCTTTATTTTTTTAAAACTGTTGTATACCGTCCACTACAAAGTAATCTCAGGACAGTCTTAGGAAAAAACCCTTGTCAGAGGATGCTTCTGTGATGACCACAGTTCTTTTTTGCAGCAAGTTGACTTGCGTTTTGCACCTTCCGCAGGAGGTGATTGTCCCAGAAATCAAATGGAGGAAGGGCGCTTCAGCGTCGCTCTCACTGGCCCTCCCGGATACGGGCTTCCAGTGCATCCACCGGGCTTCCATCAGCAGCCTCAGCACGAAGGAGAGCTCCTGCAACTCTGAGGAGCCGCTGGTATCAGGTGCGGGGCGGCAGGAGGGTGGGGAAGAGTCCTTGGTGGTGCCGCCACTCTTGCGTGCTCACGGGCACGGCTTGGCTGGCCACCTGGGGCAGAGCTCCCCTGAGGAGCATTCTCTGCAATGGGCAGCACAGATGGTGTGGCTGCTCCAGGGACCTCCGTCCCTCCCGGTCACCCCAGATAATCCCTCGCCATGCTGATTGTCTCTCTGTGCTGCTTCTGAAGGCAACGCCTTCGCATCTGCTGGGCAGCACTGATCATAATCATTGCCAGACCCCAGAGACACGGTGTTGCCCTTGTGGCACCCCAGGTCGGCCTGCAGGATGCTGGCGTGAGCGTGTATGTGCACACATGCACAAATACTTATATAAATCCTCACATCTGTATACATTAAATACATAAGCAAGTGAAAAGACCCATCTCTTTGTGTGTGCATGTGCAATTGTGTATGTACGAGAGGGTTCTTCAGAAAGTCTCCACACTTTTTAAACTTTTCTGAGCAGGGCAGTTGGATCTGCAAGGCCCAGGGAACGAAATAAGGATGTGCAAAACACTACTTTTTAGTATAGATATCTTTGGTTTTTTATACTAAAAAAACATCCACAAAAATAGTGAGCTGACCCTTGCAAGGGGGTCTGACAACCATTTTTTTAAAAACCTTTGGAATATTAACCATGACATTTTATATTCCAAATTCTGTTCTGAAATAAAGCACTTAATGTGATAAACCATTTTTCCTTCCTTTTGACTTAGTTAATAGGTAAGTTTCATTAAACTTCATGTATTTTAGCCACGTTTTACCTTATCCTTCAACTGGGCGCACACTCCAGCCTGGGTGTGTTGAACGAGCAGGTGGGTTGATTAGCTAACGTGTGTTTGGAGTAGGCTCATTTAACACAAGTTTGCCTCTACAAAGCACTTTGATGTTCCTGCTTGACGAATCCTCCAGCTTTGTCCATTGGCGCGTGTGTCTCTTTGCGTCTTCCCTTCTCTGTGTGTTTCATTACTCAAGCTGCCTGCACCTCCTTGTGTTCCAGAAAGTGCAATAAACACGGAGGAAGAGCTGGAGGTGGAGCAGAGCTGCAAAGCAGCATTGAGACCCTCCGATTATCAGCTGCTGAAAATCTTCATTGTGCTGTAAGGCTGAAGGCAAAGTTTTCCATCTTGGCAGCAGTTTTCCTTGCTCTCTTGTTGGCTCACCCCTGAACAGTTTCTCTCTGTCCTGTCTCTGCGCTCAGGATCTGTCTCCTTGTGGTGTCTTCCTCCTACCTGGCATTCCGCATCTTCCGCTTGGAACAACAGCTCTGGTCTTTGAATCGGGACTATCTCTCCCGGGTACCCCGAAGGTAAGGAATGCCAGCAATTGCAACATCTGCTTGGAAACCTATTTTCCCCAGCTGGAAAATAGGAACCAGATTCTTCTTATTCTGCTGGTAGTATTGTTTTTATCCCCCTTTCCTTTGAGGAGCTTAATCTAGTGTTCTTTACCCCCTTTATTTTATCCTTGTGAGAACCTTATGTGGCCAGTTATGATAAAGACAGTGACTGGGTTCAGACAACAGGATAACCCACCCTCAAGAGTTGAATCATGGTTTGCCATGTTGACGGTACCCAGCCACCCCTGCAGAGAAGCCATGGTTGGTTGTTGGGTGGTACCTGTGAGTTGTTCATGTTAAACAAACCGTGGCTTTTTACCAGAGTTGGGTTTGGACAATATGATAACCCGTGTTTCAACAACAACCCACACTTAGCCCAGACTCAACCTGGGTTGGGTTACTGTGCTTGCTGAACCTAACCACTATGAGGTCAGGGCTGTGGAGATGTTGTTTGCATGAATGCCCCTGAAGCCAGCCAGTAACCTCCCCAGAATCAGCCAGCAGGATTTGAGTGTAGGCCTTCCCAGCGCTAGTCCAACAGTCTAAGCACTGCACCTGGATTTGCTTTTCCTTCCACGGACTGAGGCGTGGATGGGGCGGCATTGCTGGAATACTGAGGGCAAAGAAGTGGGAGCACCGCTGGCCAAAGAACTAGCTATATTAAAATAATAAATCCAAAACTTATATCCAGCTTTATTTCCAGTATAAATCCATGCAGATAACAAACCCAAATGCATCGCACACAATCCCAACATCAAAATAGCAACTAAGACCAATAACAATTTCTGGAGAAACTAGTCCAAATGAGGGAAACATTTTTTCAAAAATATACCAGGCAAATAGTCAGCCTGAAGCCTTTTGGAATAACCATGTTTGTGCCAGTCGCCTGAAAGAAGAGAGTACGGGAAGCCCAAAGCGCCTCCGTGGACAAGGTGTTCCCTGTGAGGGCTGGCACCCCTCTGGAGCAAGGGGCCAGGGAATCTGGAAGAGGGCCTGCAGGGGAGTGCAAAGAGGACCGTGGCTTGGGCCACCCACTCCATGGCCTCTCTTCCTTCTCAAAAGCACATGTGCACACAAACACACAACATTCTTCACTGTTGGCCACGTATCATGGCATTTAAACGAGGAGAAATGCTTTTGTCTCAGTCACAAAACTCTGGGAAACTCGGAGTTCTTATCAAAGTGTCCCAGGCCCTGCTAATTCAGAGCTCACCCTCTGTTTTCACAGGTGACCATGGCCCCAGGCGGGTCAGCGATGGAGAAGACAGCACCTTCTGGATCCTTGCCATGTCCAAGTAGTTAATATGGCTGCCATGAGGACAGAGCCAGTGGATCCCTTCTACTTGATCTCCCTCCAGGACAAGAGCTCTTCCTTTCCAGCCATGGAACCTGGAAGGGCTCCTTCCAAGGCTGGGATGCCCGGCCTGCTAGCTGTCCTGTAGACTCTGCAGAAGATTCCTTTAGACTGCTGCTACACTTGTGATTGTGGTTAAGCGTTATCCCTGGACTAGGTGTGTTCGTGGCAGTATCTCTAGCGCCAACCCTGCAGGGCCTTGTTGACCTCTGAAGACATTCGGGCCAGTGGTTCTTGAGAGCTTCCAGGAAAATTGGCGTTCAGTTTATGACTTCTTCTGAAGCACCCTCCTTTTTTCAGAACTGCAGCAGCATCTTGTGACTCTGCCTAAGAAAGACCAGAAAACTGTTGAGGCTGGTTTGCGGTCATATCCAAATGGATCTTTAGCAAGTTGTTCTAGCAGGACCCTCTGTTTACACGGGCAGTCCTTGCTGTCTGCTTTCCCTTAATCCCGGCATAAGCACCAGAAAGTCCTGGATTTTTGCAGCAATAAAGAACACAAATGAAATTAGACTGGCTAGTAAGGAATAGTCTGCAGTGGATGAGGTACCAGTCGGAAGCTGCCCCTTTTCTGCTTTGCCTGACCCTCTGCATTCAGTGTCATGAAATAACCTCCCTTTAGACCAATTTTCTTGCACTAACAGGATTCCTGTTACCCAGGGAATACCCTCCAAGCAACTCTGCGTCACTGCAAAACTGCAGGAGTTGCTGAAGTGATGTTCAGTGGTAGGGTGACAGTGGGACCCCTGTGAGGTGCCAGGCAGGCCCTGAGCGCTCAGAAACCGTGACTGACTTGAAAACAAATTCCTGAGGCAGGGGAAGGAGCAGGAGAGGTGCGAGACGAGACGTGAAGAGAACATGTGTAGTCCTTTAAAGCACTTTACATTGGCCTGCTCCAGTTAATCAGGGACTCAGGAGCTTGGCACTGGGGGAGAAGACGGGAAACGGGTGAGGTGAGTTCTCAGGCTGCATCCCTTTGCTTCAGGGAAGGGACCTGATGCCCTGTGGTTGCACCAGCTCTTCCAGTCTGAAGCAGGTGGAAGCGAGCGAGCCGAGACCTGTACACGCAGCTTGGCATGCTCCCATCGCCCTGCAGCTCGGCAGCAGGAGAGTCTGCCAGTCAGCCCTGAAGAGAGATGGCGGGATGCGCGGGCTTGAGCTCCTCCTCCGCATCGCCAGCCATGGAAATCTCGTGCCGCTGGTCCCGGCAGCCGGGGCTGCTTTGAAGGAGGATGGCCTTGTGCTGTGACCCCCCGCCACTGCCAGTGCCTCTGCCGCCGCCGCCTTGGGCATACGGCAGAGCAGGCCCAGGGTGGGATTGCTGAGGCAGCACTTTCCTGGGAAGATGGCCATGCTAGATAGAAGAAAACGAGGGTTGCCGTGTTCAGGAGCCACCCTGAACATTTCGAGTCCGCCAGAAAACCTCCCAGGTGAAGTGAGGCATACGAGCGAGCAGACGAGCTGTCCTCTGGCCTGCCTTGCACGCCCCTCTTGAAACTGGCCTCTTTCAGGAGCAGGGAGCTCTGTGCATGCGGCTCCTCTTGGGCCGAGAGCTGGCTTTGAAAGAACATTCCACTTGGGGGACTGGTCTGCCCCACGTGCCCAGCACAGCCCCCGCCCCCCGGTGCGTCGCATTAAGATTTGGAAGCACGTTGTTCTTCAGTGTGATGTTGGCCTCAGGACTGGCCCTGCCACAGAGCAAGGCGATGCTTGCGGGGGGGGGGGGGCAGGATTCAGGGGAGCAGATGAAGGCAGGAGTGGATGTCTGAATCATGCAGGAGGCTGAGGAGCTTGGCCTCCGCTTTTCGGGGAGGGGGCATTACTGAGACAGCAAGGTATGATTCCGGCTAGCATCGGGCCAGTCAGGCCTGGCCGTCTGTCCTGTGCCAGCTGAGAGGGCATCCTGGCCTATACCCTGATACTCTCTGTTCCTGCACCTTGCAGGGAAAAGCGCGAGTGGAGAGCAGCAAGTTTTTCTGCTGCTCTGAGAAGGTCCCCCCAGTGCACAGTTTTAAACCTGCACCTGGTAGGAAAGGCCAGTCCTGAATGCGGGAACAGCTCTGCACTGGAGAGCGGTGGGCTTGTCCAGGGGCCCGTCCTGGCAGGCCCCCGGTGCGCTGGGTTGCTCCCTGACAAAGGCCCGGGCAGCCCCTCCGCACCTTGTCAGCGGTAGTGGCCGGCAGGCAGAGCAGGCGTTTGCCATTCCCGTGGAGAGCATGCGGGGGGATTGAAGGGGCCGCTCCTGCACACAGCTGCGTGGTGCTGAGGGGAGCCCAGAAGAGGCTCCTGCAGGGCTCTTGGGCCCCAGGAGTGCCGCCTGCTTGAGTGGGCAGGTTCCAGAGGCCTGGTGTGTGTGGCCCTGTGTGAGCACCGTTCTTGCCACCCGCTTCTCTTCTCCCCCTGCTCCAGGCCTGTGCCAGAAGTTCACCGGGCTGCTGGACAGCTGGTGGCTTCTCTCTTAGCAATAACGACTCAGGTGTTAAGCATTTCGGTCCAGCAGGCCCTCGTCTGAGAGGGGACTGCTCCGTGTGCTGAGTTTTGTCATGCCTGCAAGGCCTCTGTGCTTTTGGCCGCAGGCAGCGAGTGGGAGCGGTTCCAGACAAACCAAGCTGATGTGGTAGAGAAAGGCAAGGAGGTCCTGGAAGTAAAACAAGGCTGGATTAACACCGAGGCGCTTTTTGCTGCATTCTTGACCAAGTCTGTGCTCATGCACAGTGGTTCAGAGCATGAGCTATGAGTCCGAAGTCCCCAGTACAAATCGCAGCTGAGCTGCAAGCTCGCTGGTTGGTCGTCTTTGGTGAGCTGCGCGCTCGCGCGCTCTCTCTCTCTCTCTCTCTCTCTCTCTCTCTCTCCCTCCTCGGGGCTCCCCAACCCTCCACAGCTCTCTAATATGAGAATAACGACCATCCTACCTTACAGGGTTGTTGTAAGGATTGTTGAATAATGTATGTGAGGTGCTTTGAACAGTTTGGAAAAGCGCTTTATAAATACTAAGTATTATAATTAGTGTTGTGCAGTGTAAGCAATTCTGTTTCTTTACTTTAAAAAAAATAATTGGGCCTTTCAGAATTATAGCACAAAGTTCACAGAAATCCATTACTCTCTGGCTGTGCCCTTCCTGTGATGTTGGGGAAGATGCTTATGCCCAGTGGATACACAGCAATTTTGCAAGTCCCTTCAACCTTCACTGACTTCTCTTTATCTCTAGAGTTCTGTAAAATGGGCTGCTTTTCGGCAGGCGGGATCTCTGCTTTTGACCAAGGGTGGCTGTGTAAAGTAAAAAGCATGCTTTTTAGCTTCAAATGTGCAGGGCACTGGACAGCCTAAGATTTCCATCTCTTTGCAAGGCTGCGTTGTCAGGAGTTTCTGACAGTCCTTCCCGTTCTGCCTCAGCCAAAATGTAGCAAGCAGGTGGCCTTTTTTATTATTATTATTATTATTATAACATTTCTATGCCGCCCCTTGCCGAAACCTCGGGGCGGCTTACAACATGATAAAATACATTGAAATACAATAGTACATAATAAATTACCATTAAATATAAAAATACAAAAAAATACATTGATTTACAAATACAAAATTAAAATTATCAGTATAAAATAAAAATATAGGAGGAGAAAGAGAAGGAAGAAGAAGTTGCCCCGGCCAGATCATATGTTTTAACAATTGAAATGATGTTTAAATAAAAAGGTCTTTACCTGGCGCCGAAAAACCAGTAACGACGGTGCCAGGCGGACCTCTTTGGGGAGTGAATTCCATAGGTTGGGCGCCACCGCAGAGAAAGCCCTCCTCCGAGTACTTACTCTCCTAATTTCTTTCATGGAGGGTTCCTGGAGAAGGGACTCTCCCGCAGATCTGCCCTGGATGATGCGTTAGCTCTCCTCACCGCTGCTCCTCACACCAGAATGGGCGTTGGGTGAGCTGGTGGACCAGCCAGGGCTGAGCGCCTCCAGCCACCGCATCCAGTCCCCTCGCACCCCCCGGAAGGATGCCCTGGACGCGCTCCGGCACAACTGGCTTTGTTAACGCTCCTTTTATTCTGGCCCAGACAGGGGAGGTGGTAAGGAAGAGAAGCGGCAGCCAACGCCAGGGCCTGGTTGCTCTCCAGCTCTGCTCCTACCAAGCCAACAAGCTGGAGCAGCGAGGAGGGACAGGAGCAGCTGGTGGCGACTGCAGGAAGGTGCTAGGCCACAGCAGTCTGTCTGAGAGCCTCACGCAAAGGTCTTGGAAGCACTGCTCCTTCGCCTGGGAAGTTGGTCAGGAGGCTGCTGTTTCACTGGTAATTTTGTAGGGAATTGAGGTAGGGAAGGGCTACATTCCGGGGAGGAGGGGGCGCTCTGTTGTGCATAGCAGGCTGGCACTGGATGCAGCTGATTTCCTTCCTCGTTCCCCCCCAGTATACATTGGGTGGGAATGGCAGGTGTCTTAATTCAGAACAACCGTCGAGCAACTATGGAGCTGTGTCTGTCTGAGTAAGAAAGACGCCACCTTGCTTCTCTGCTCCCCTTTCCTTTTCAGGAGTGGCAGCTTTTCCTGTTTTAAAAAAGGCAGTCCGGGTAGCTGGCACACACTCCTTGCCTTAAATATCTTGCTTGGCTCTGGGAGTCTGTAGCATCCAAACAGATAGAAAGCTGCGTTCTGGGCATCTGTTAAAATTTGCCCATTCGGATGACCTTTCTAGTTTGACTGAGCTGCTGTGGCTCCACGTTTGATGGCAAAGCCACGAGCGAGTTTCCCTTGCCAGGTTCGCTGACAGCCCAGCTGCCCGCTTGCGCTTACGGTCACGACATAGCGAGTCCACAGACGGCCAGCGCGCACAATGTTCTGGATCCATCTGTTCCATCCTTTGCAAAGTGTGGCTAAAAATACACACCCCACCCGTCTGACCAAAAGGTAACCATCAGGTAAGGGGGGTGCTGTAATCTGCCCAGAGGCATGAAGGCAACAGTGAGGAACAGAGGTCGGCATCTCAGACTTTCCACTGACTGCAACCAAATGGGAGTTGCAATTTCTCTGATTCAAAACATGACTTACAGTCCTGTGATAAATGAACTGCTTTTGCAAAGTGGGGAAGAAGGCATGCAAGCAGAGTGATAGGCTGGTTTCACAACCGTGTATGCATGCAACTAATTTAATGTAACTGCCTGAACACGCAGCTGTCGGGAGTTCAGGAGTTCACCCTTCAGCTGTTGAGAGTTTGGTGGAGACCAGCCAAGAGCATTTTGTGTGCCTCTGTGGTCCACATCCGCTTCTGTACACTTGCCCCTGTGGCATGCCTGCCTGTGGACAGGTGTTGTCTCCCTTATGGGGATCTCACATATGTGCAAGGCCTGAGATTGGGGACAGCTGGTCTGTTCCAACGTTGAATCTCAGAGGTGAAGCCTTCCAGTTGGGAAGGCAACTGACTCTTGGGATTGCTAAAAGTAGTCGCGTGTTTTAACACCAGCAAGTGAGGCCCAGGTTGGGATACCAGCTCTGGGTGCCACGGCTTTTGCTGAGCTTCCCCAGCCTGGTCCCTCCCGATGTGCCCGACAAATCCCAGGAGCACTGAGGTTTGTCTGGCGTAAGCCATAGGCGCTGGGAGCCATTATTCCCATGTGCCATTGTGCAAGCTTGTGATGCCAGGTACCAAATGAGAAGGTGATGCTGCCAGCTTTTTAAAAGCTCTAAGCTGGGAGAGTGGCTGTAACAACTTGGCCTTCCATCCTGTTGCTGCATCGGTCAACATTATTCTTGCTCTTGCCTGCTGTAGCAAGCAGCGCTTTCCCCCAAAGCAGGCAACAGAGTGGAACCGGAGCAGCTTCTTTGGGCCTCTGGAAATTCCAGCCATACAGCTCCCTTCCACAAGATCCAGAGGGAGGCCCTTTGCCATGCCATGAATCTGGAAGAAAGTGAGTACAGGCTGTGAAACCCAGCGGTCTGACCTTCAGCAGGGGCTGTAGTGATGGTATCTCAGCGCCAGACCTCCTGCATCTCAGGGCTTTTTCCAGCCGACTTCATGTTGGCTGCTATACTGCTGAATAGGGAAAGCTGCTACTGGGATGTGCCCAAATTGTCATGTGTAACAAAAACTAAGACTTTGGGTCTTATCCATGTAACTGTTGCTAGGGGAGTCCTGTAGGTTAAGACTTCTGACGTTCTGCAGTTGGGGCGACCGCAGAGTGGGCACCTCCTTCTTCCGCTAGTTAAACAGCTGTTGGGGTTTCAGACGCACCTCAGACTGAATGGCTCTTGTGTTGCTGACATTGAAGCCAGCAGACATCTGCGCTCTCAGGAGGGGCTGTCTGGATGATGGCGTGAAAGCATCTGAGGTGCTTAGCAGCATTTGTCTCTCCCCTACCCCGAATCAGGCTGTTTTGAGAGCAAGGAAGATATTTCATTGCATGCAGAGGAAAGCAAAAACTCTCCTGTGTATGATACATACAGTTGAAGCATGACAGAGGGATAGTGCTGCTCCCTCTGTCCCCTTGTTTACAGAAGAGCTTTGCATAATCCTCTTAGTGAGTCTTAATCAACCTAGCCTGTCCTTCCAATTGCAGCTATCAGAACTGTCACTCTCCCTTTTAATAGTTCCTTAGCCATCCATAAGAAGTGTCAAGGGTGGCCATGATGGACTCAGTTAAGGCCTCAAAACTGCCAGATGTGTCCAGTCTTTTCAGGCCCACAGGGGCTTCCACTTTCAGGGAAACAGAAGGGTACGCCAACATTTTAGATTCTGTGTTTGTGGTCCAGTGGATCAAACACAGCTTAGCAAAGGGCTGTTGCTTAAATGGATCTACTCTTGCCGCTTCAGCACTGCCAGCTACAGGCAGGGGAGGGCCATGGAGTGCCTGAGGGATTTGTTGTTAGTGCCACGAAATGAACTGACCCATGGCAACTCTGTGAGACAGCCCTGCACAGGTTTTATAAGCACAAGGCTGTGGCTTCCTTTGTAGACTTGATCCATCTCTCATTTGGTCTTCCTTTTCTTTTTCGTTTGACTTTCCTTAGCACTATTCCAGTGAGTCTTGCCTCCTCGTGATGTGCCCTGGCATTTCCCTTGCTTCATGGGCCTGGGAGATCCCTGTGTCTCTTGCTTCCCTGTTTAACTAAGTGGAGCTTGAGCAGTGAAAGAAACAGCAGCCCCTGGAATTCCATGTTAGGAGAATGCCAGATGCTTCTTTCCTAGAGATGCTTGTGAACCAGCTGCAATTCATCCCATACAGGTGACTGGTATGTTATTGATGATTTCCAGCAGAATGCGACTTGCACTCCTGCTGTCCGTAAAATGCACACATGAAGAGGCTGACAAACCACTGGAGTCTTCCGCTGTGCTCCAGTGGTCCCACTTCCACCCCTCCGTATGGTATAAATTTGACTTGATTACACAAGCCAGACATCTCTGCTTGCAACATCTCCTCTGAAAATGTGCATTGTAACCTCCTGCACTTCCCCGCTTGCCATCTTCAAGAACTTGGTGGTGATTCAACAGGACTCTACAGCGTGACTGTCTCAGCCCTTGAAGCATGAGAAGAAAGTAGTTCTGGTAGGAGATGATTCTTTCTAACACTTCTTACTTGCCTGGGACAGTCTTGATTCTTATTCCTGTCCCTGATACATCACTGTCCAGAACTGTCCCTTTTTGAGGATGCCTTGTCAACATTTTATTAGTTCTACTACCCTGTTTTTGCTGCATATATAAACCAATCACTCATTTTCTCATTCTTCAGGGAAGTAAATGCCTTCAATTTTAAAGAAGAACCTATGAAAGAGTCTGTTGTATTAGCTTTAGGGGCAACTGGGAGAACTGTATGCTTAAAAGCTCCTATATGCAAAAACCTTCCTGTACTTGGAACATTTAAAAAGTCTTCCTAATGTATTGCCTTCCTACATGCAATTTCTCTTCCTCCTCCTTGTTCTTACTAGCTGCTCATACGGGAGGTAGTGATTCTTGAGATAACGCATTTCCCAGTGGAGCAAGCTATCTCAGACTTTTTCTCTTTTCAAAATAGACTGATCTACTATAAAACAGTCACACCGAAGTAAAAAAGTCACACTGAAATGCGGGACCACATTTCAAGAAGTAGGGATGCAACCTAAGTGAGAAATGAGACTTGTACAGATAGGATCTCCTGTGTTTTATAAAAAGTCACTATGGGGTTTAAATAGGGCCAGGGGCCAGGAAATGGCCCATAGCAGTCCAAAGCTCAGGTCAATCCTCTGCAGTGCCCCCTCCCAGGGCAGTTGTTTTGGGGTTGATTAAGATCTCTGCCTAATGGTGTGTAGGGTTTTCTCTTCCAATTTTTGTGGCAGCAGCCGGAGGCTGGACCTACCTGTCTCTGTCCAGCCTTATATCTGTCCATTGCATGATCCTCTTCCATCAAGCAGTTCTGTGATCACATGAGATTACCTGAAGTAGGATAGCATGTGTAGGTGTTTGATATTGAACTCCTGAATGTAAAAACAAGGCTTTATTATCCTTAGTACATACACTAGAGGGCAGCAAAATCTTCTACTTGTGTTCAAGAGGCAAAAATGCCCTTAAGGGCATCACTGCAGTCTGGGCATCCTCCCTTAATCTAGAAACTGTTTCTCTCCCTTCTTGTATTTATTTTAGCAGAGCTGCGATTAAAGCATTACAATGCAGGAAAATGCCTAGCCTGCTGAGGTTGCAGCTAGAGAACATGCCCCCTGGAGACTCTAGGGTCTCTAGAATCTGTGTTTGCAGTATCCGTGATACACACTTCCATGATTACCTATTTCACAGTCTCAATAGCTTTGAGGGAGACTCTTCTTGCAAGGACTAAAGTAGGTGGAACTACAAACCCACAAGGAATGAGCCCCAATTTCACTGCAGTAAATGAAATCCGAAACCAAAACAAAAATAGCCATCTATTAGTTATTTCCCCAATGTATCTTTGACTCCCATGAATTCTATCTTTCCCCCTTTGTTGTCCTTCACAAGCATAGACTTTGCAATGCTACCCCAATTCAGCTGCCTTCACTGTCTTTGTTGCATTTTCTGTAACAGTGTGGCTATATCCGGAAAAGGATAAATCATATTTGGTTCACATGTTTCTGCAGGCTGTAGATGTGCTCAGATTCTGCAATGTTTTCCTCACTTCTGGCTATTTCTGATAGAAGGCCTTATTGTAAAGGGGGTGTTACTCATACATCCAAGACATAGGAAGCTGCTTTGTGTCAGGCCCGGCTCCCCCCTCCCCAGCACAATATTGTCTGCTCCAGCCTCTCCCATTCTAAGAAAGGTTTAGTCCAGATGGTTTGGACCACAATTCTGATTAGTCACAGCTGGCACGGCGCATGGTCAGGGACAGTGGGAATTGCCACCCAAAGCACCTTCAGTGACCCCATTAGGGACAGCGATCTCCCACTGACAACAGCTTGCCAAGGACTTGACAGAGGTCCTTCCCATTACCTGCTACATGATCCTTTCCGACTGAAGAGGATGCCAGGACTGGAACACCTGGGCCTTTGGCACACATAGCACAAGTTGTACTAGTGTGCTATGATCTCTCCCCATATCCTCCCCCTCAAAAGGCCTTCTGAAGTGCCACATGCACAAAAATATCCCCACTGAAGATGAGCCCAAATTCTGTAAACTTCCCCAATGGCTCTGAGGATAAAATGTTGGGGAGAGGGAGGCCCTAGCATACCACTTTCAACTGACTGGAGGAAGAGCGAGACAGAAACAGCACGTGGGAATACAGCCCCAAGCACCACAGTGCTTGCAGCCCAGACTCTCTTCTTAGCTGCAACATCAGTATTCAGGTGGGAGTGCTCCTTGTAGCTGCGCCCAGGAATAAGCAAACACTTGGCCTTCGGTACAGTCTCCTACGCTGTAATCCGGCAGGTTTTTCTTGTGATGCAGGCACCTGGTGAACATTCAAGGCTATCAGAAAGCACAATGTAAGGATTACACTGTTTACTGATTGGGCCTTAACAATCCATTTGTAAAACTGGAAGAGGCCAAGGGCTAAGAAAGTAGCTCTGCAGCTTCCTGCGTTAAAGTCTTAGCAGATCAGCATGGTATGTTGGCCCCTGAGGGAAACAGATACATAGATGAGAGTCTGGAACACCATCAGAAGCTCTGTCAGCTTTTTGACTCAATCGTCTTGATAGATGTTGCATCTGCCACAGTGAGGATGCAAAATAAGAAAGATTCAATTCTATGCATTTAAGCAAGGTCATAAAATGCTCAGCATACCTGAGCCATGAAGATGGGCAAATAACTCGTATCAGGAACTATTCACAACAATTAATATGCTTTTTTCAAAAAGCTCCAGTGCATGCATATCACTCATTTTAGGAAACATTCCACATACAAAGTAGCTGTAAGAGAGCACTGAAAGACAGCCTGGCTACCAGCTCTTTTCAAGAGATGGTGATGGTGCATTTTGCGGCTTGTTTTGAGGAACGTCTCTACAGATGTTCCATACAGCCACAAAATTGGGAAGGATGGTATGCAGCCAAGTCCCTCTTGGATATAAGCAGGGCTGGCCATAGCATTCCACATGCACAGATGGATTAGGTCTTGATGGCAGTGTAGAGGGATGGCTTTGCCAGAAAAAGTGCACATGCCGAAGTTTTTGCATGTTTGTCCCAGTTTACAGTGTGTGTTCTAGTTTCCCAGGTAACACACTCAGTTTGTGCAAGGAGCAGGCAATGCTGAGCAGCAGCAGCTCCAGGATCTGACACTGGCACGACTGGTTTCCTGTTCAAATGGATGGGTGCCAGAGCAGTTTCATGTTTGTGCAAGGAGAGCCTTCCGTGCCACACCTCTTGGGCCACTTGAATCCCTGACAGATGTCTGTCCAGTTTTCCTTCAAAAATACCTATAACCTCCCCCAGCAACCTCTCGGTTGAACTGCTTGACTAGTTTAAGGCCACGGCATTCATAGTTCCCATTGGCAAGAGAGTGAATGGCAAGCAGTGGCTGCAGCCACTCCTCTTCTGCATTTCCAGCACAACGCAGAAACATCCCACATTGCTGTGATGTGGAGCCTGCAGCACATCGCAGTATTGTAACCCTCAGCTACCTTGCCATGGTACTGCAGGCAGTGGACACCACAGACCTATAACGCCTCAAGGGGAGCGGCTCGCACTGCTTTTGCTCGTTATGCGCTTTTGTATACAGAACAGAGAACTTGGAGATGGCATACTTGGTCCTTACACCTCACCTGCAAGGGTGCAGGTATTCAGGCTCACCTGCGCATTGCTATAATTGGTTGCGATGCAGATGCCATTTCTTTCCCAATAAAGGAAGCCTTTGCCCTTCCTCTAGTCACTAGAGTTTAACCACAGTTTTCAGCAGAGTTCATTTTAAAGCAAGCTTGGGAATGTTAGATACCAAGAAACCTTGTTGAGTATCGTACAGAGAGATTAATATTACTATGTTCACATAGACCGCAAGGACGGTTAGCGGACTTACCTTTACTAAGAACAATGTAAAGAAAAAATGGCCGCAGGTCTTACTATTCTTTGTTCTCACCTAACAGAAAAGTGTTTGTCTTTCTCTACCTGTTCACGCCCTAGATATCTGAAGCTGTTTGCTTTTTTTATGGATAAAGAAAAGAAGTTTCACCTGAGCCCTTCTTGGGTTTGCCATTTCAGGGCAAGCAACTCTACCATGTAGCTCTCCTTCCTCATCCAGCTACATAGATGTCCCACACCACACCTTCCCCAAGAGAACAAGCACCCTGCTACATTGAGACAAACTCCTTGAAGTGAAAATTCTTTTATTAATGGTTGAAGATTTTCCCAAACACATTAAAAGTTGTCATTCCTTCTCCATATAAAAATCAGAAAATGATAAACTTCTTCTGCCCCAACAGTGACATAAACTAGAACTTGTTTCTTAAACACTTGCTGTGTTTTATCTTCAGTGTTAGAAGACTGTAAGTGGATAAGGCAGCAGCCCTTGGGAGTAAAAGCAGGCTAACAGGAAAAACAAATGATACAGCTTTTTTGGCTTTATCACCCACACAGGTATATAACCCAAAAGGACAGGTTACCTTCTTCAGCAGTCCTAGGTGCACAGCGGCATGAGGCAACCCTATGTTGTCCAGCAATAGGATTTCATATAAGCAACCAAGTATGCTGTCAACCCTAATACTGCTGATCTCAAATTAGTAAGCAATAGAGACAAGCTGGGAGACATGTTAAGGAACACGCAGTAGCGGGGCATACGGCCTCTTTTCCTACCAGGGGTTTTTTAAGGCTACCATCTCATGTAAACCTACTTAAGCCCAGTTCAACATAGGTCCAAACAGATCATGCAGTAAGAATACCAGCCTGCTTCCGCAAATGACTGAAGCAGAATGGCATCTCTAACCTGACACCTTGCTGTTCACAAACCTGCAAGTCTCATGAAACTCAAATATTCCAAGTCCTCGCTAGTTCCCAGTAAATTCAGATATGCAAAATAACATAAGCATATCCCCAAACCCTTAGGGTTCAGTCCTTGGCATAGGAACTAAGTCATATTAGACTCACTTTCAACTAAATATGTTTTAGGCTGATTTATTTAGTGTACTTTTAAGCCACTTTTCTAGGCCAAAAGTGCTCAAAGTGATGTACAGAAGTTTAAAAAAATAAACACACACTCTCATACTTAAATTTCTATTTCTTTCCCTTCCAGATATTGAGAGTGGAAAGCCTGGGGTTTCATAATAGCTTCCATTTAGAGGTGCATATTTCTAAGTAATTCATTGCATGATAAGTAACAGCAAAAAGAATAGCCAGAAACTGAACAAAAACCAAGTCCCTTTTGCTATCAAGAATTCTGTACATTATAGAATTTCTGTTTAGTCATCTCTATAGTGTTCCCTACACAGCCGAACTCTGTACAGCAACCAGCTGTTTCCCTGCAATCCCTTTTCAGAAAAGCAGGAACAAAACCCCCATTTTGACAGATTCTGAAATAAGCATGTTAGTGGTTTAACAGCATCATACCAGCTTATCTCACTTCCAGAAAGTTCAAGCATAGTTTTGGAAGAGAACTGCTGAAATTTGTCACAATTCAATTCAGGCAGAAATATATTACGTTGCTGACGTCACTGAAACTTGATCACACACAGATGTATAAAGAACTTGAGTGCTGTGGAAATGTTGTAGATATAGGAGAAGGGGGAAATAGCCAGAGCCATAACTACCATAGACCTTAAGTCGTCTCCTATGACTCAACGCTTCTAATCAATAGCAGAATAAGGCAGTGCAAAAATGCAGAGGTAAATACATTCTTTCTCTAGGGAAACCCTGTGAACAAGCTTCCTTCTTCAGGCACAGGGAGCATGATGAGAAGGGCAATAGCTGGAGACTGGCTGTTCATTTCTGAGAAAGCTTAGCAATGAGTTTCTTCCATTCTTCTCGCTTGCCTGTTACGTATGAGGGTGTGAGGAGCTGTAGCACAGGCTCCTGCTGTCCTTGGAAGTATTCTTGACACAGAGCTTCTGTGTTGCAGATGACATACATTCCACAATCGTAGCTATTCTGCTGGGCCGGAGCCTTCTCCTCTACAAAGGCAACTTTGCCTCTCTTGCTGAGAAAGGCCTCCAACTTCCCTGCTACCCGTCTGGCATGGGCAGAGTTGCTCCTGCTCTGAGAATCATAGTGAGCAAAGCAGTTTTTATCTTGGAAGTAAACTAGTAGGCTCCAGTGGGTGCCACCAGCAGCCTGGTTGGAATTGTCATTGATTACCAGAAACACAATTTTCCTGTGAGGGAGGTTCAGCGGCTCAAGAAATATGGCCAGTTCCTCCTGGCTGGTTGTGCATTTAATGAACTGAGCCACCTCAGGACCAATGAAGCACACTTGATCAGTGAAGTCCCGGAATTGGTCATTGGCAAAGTACTCAAAGGCAAACCCAATGATGCAGTCATTAAGCCAGCAGGGAGGATCCAGTAACAATACATCAGATTGTCTTAGCAAACTGTCCATGTAACTGAGGACAACAGGGTCCATTCTATGCAGGCAGAGTCACAGCAGCCAGAGAAATTCCAGTGCCTAAAATTATCAAGAGTAGAAAGAAGAGTTACGGTTAGATGAGGTCGTGCTTTTCCCAGTACTGAAGATCATGAAGGCAGTCATGGACTAATATCAGTCAATCCATTGGGGTCTTTTAGCCAATGTCCAGTTATGCTAACCCCCACTCCCTCTAAGGCATAGCAACAATATGCAGAAAGGAGACAGGAGTTTCGCTCCTTTGTACTGGCTTATGCAGTAGGTAAGAAAATGGGAGAAGAAACCTGCTATTTCTTCTCTGAACCTCAGCGTATGTGAGATAAGTCCTGAGACTTTTATGTATAGGACAGGGTATAAAAGTTTTAAATAAATTAACAATATCTTGAATTTTTCCCTAACTCTGTGTTTGGTGGTGAGCCTGAGAGAGAGGCATGGATATCAGGAGTAACAAACAGAAAGACTGAGGTTTCTTAGCATCTCCAAACCTCAGCATCTGAGAACTTCAGAGAGAAGTCTCACCAGAGGGCCAGTAACACTTCCTGCAGCAAGCAGATTTGGGGTTGCCTTCAACTAACTAATATAAAATGAAGAACCAAGTTATTCAATAAAAACCAAAGCAAGAGAGGTAGGCTCATTTACAGTCAATCTATCTTAGTCTAACCTACCTCACAGAACTGTTGTGGGGATAAAAATGAGGTCCTTGAGAGAAATGCAAAATATAAAATTAGACAAACACAATACATTCATAATTAAAAGGACAAAAATAGGGTCCATATTTAGAAGTAGTATCCAGAGTAGTACAACAAGCCACCATAAAAGGTAACGTTCTAATTTAGTCTGTGTGTATTGGTGTTGAATCTCCTCTATTCTGAATCCTGTGCTAGAATTGGCAAAGTTATGTTTGTCCAGCTCATAGTACCAGAAATACTACCTGTTTCCTCCTTCTAGCTAGACAGAAAGGCAGATGTGTATGTGTGTGCCCGTGGGAAGTCACAAGTACCAAAAGACTTTTATTCATGACCTTTCGTAACTATTACTCATTCTAAGAGGCAAAAAATGATTTTGTGTTCCAAGATCCCCAAGGCAGCATGCTGGGAGACACAGTCCAACATAGCTGGAGAGCACCAGGTTGGGGAAGGCTGGTATGAATCTATTTTAGCATCATTAACTGGTTCCTTTCACAACCAAAATTATTTTTAAAGCCAAAGTGGGAGTCAGCAATTAAACTACATAAAGTACCATAGCAACTCACGACTTACCATTTTACATTCTTTACTGAACAATTCCTGAGTCTGCCTTTCTTCTAATAAACCCACTCTGCAGCAGGAGGGAAAATCCCATCTCTGCCTTCTCTTTGATTCAGTAGATTTTTTGCATGATTTGCCTTCTGGTTGAAACTAGACATGCTGGGCATGGATCTGCTACCAAGAATGACAGCCCCTTCCAGAGTGTTCTGCCTGCTATAGATAGGCACACATACATAGCTTCCTATTACCCACCTACCCCATTTTTCAATACCTGACAAAATAGCTAATGATGTGAAGCAGAGACAGAGAAATATAATATGCTGCCATGAAAAGTATGCCTAGATATTAGTGGAGGAGGGGAAAACTTTATGCATGGCTGTAATTTTAATCAGCAGTTCTGTATCTGGGTTAACTACAGCATCCAACCAGTCCATCCTATTTGTCTAAATTGCAGGAAAATGGGAGAAGATTCCGGAGTGCTTCTATTATGAGTAAGATGTATTAAAGATCAATAAGAATTGAATAGAGAAAACATGCACTAAGCATTTGCTATATAAAGTGGGTCTATGACAATTGGATTTAAGGGCATCTTTTTCTAACTGCTGTTAGGAAGATAACTTTCTTCATTGCCGGTCCTGAAATCAGAGACGTGCAAAGGGAAATTACAATTAGATCCTAATACATATTTACTTGGAACTAAGTGCCACTTAGCTCAGTAGGGCTTTTTCCTCAAACGTGTGTGAATTTGATTGTAGTCCTGACATTATCTGAGGCTCCATGTCCTTTAAATATCACCTCATGTCAACATGCATTTGATCCAACCTTTAGAAAGGCACCATGAAGAGCAAACATGTCCTTTCGCATGATTCAGTGCAAGCCAGGGAACACCCATACTGCAGCAAGAACAGACTCACATGTGCTGGTTTGTTTACTTGTCAGGAAGGTGTAGGAAGGTCCTCTTAACTGCAGTGTCGAACTATTTAGACAATCAAACCTAATGACTACTTCATTTCCAGATGTGTAGCAGTGGCCATCATCAGTAATTAAACAACAATTCTAATGAAAGATAGTTAAGATTGCAAGGAATGCTGAATCAATTCCTTGCATTAATCTGGATTGCACTATGTGTATGGCAGATATTTTTGAACTGATTTTTTTCATTTTTTTCAAAACTGTTAAAAAATGACAATATATATGTGTGTAGTTCTTTATGAAAAAAAAAGATCACATTCAGGCAGTATGTCTGTGAAAGCTGTTCAAGAACTCAAATGTGAAATTTGAGTTACATCCCAATGTTTGGCCTCTGTACCAGAGGGTTAAAAAGTGGCCAATGTAGTACCATGTTTTAAACAAGGATCCAGAGCAGCAATAGAAATTACAAGCTAGTTGGCTTAATGTTTGTTCTGGACAGAGTGTTACTCGAGATAAAATTATGAAACATACAGAAAAAGAACAAAGCTTGCTAATTTTAACCAATATGGCACCTGTAAGTTTTGCCTTATTAGCTTTTTAGAGTTCTTTGACAGTGACAATGTGCGTGAAGGTGATCCAATAGATATCATTTAGCTTGTCTTTCAAAAAGGCTTTTGGCAAAGCCCCTCAGCAAAGATACTCAGCACATATGAGGTAATTTCTTATGGATCAGTAATTTATTAAAGCAGAGAGCACAAATCAATGGGCAGCTGTCACAATGGAGCAATGCAAGAAGTGAGGTGCCTCAAGGATTTCTGTACCTGCACTTTTTCACACACTCATGTTGTGGGCTGGTTGTGCATTTTCCCTTGTTCATAAACAACAAAGAGTTGGGGTTGAACAGTGAGGTGCCACGTTTGCTGACATCATCAAGTTATTCAGGGTGGTACAAACAAAAAGAGATCTTTCCCAATTGGGTGATAAAATGGCAAATGCAGTCCAAATTTAGTATGTGCAAAATTATGCACACGGGGGCACAGTGAAAATGTTAAATTAGAATGTGACTGCTGTCAAAAAAGTGGATTCCATACTATAAAAAAGGGACTGTAAGTAAAACTGCCAATGTTGTGATACCTTGTGCACACTGATGGTACAACCACACTTGGAATATTGTGTACAGTTTAGTTTGCTGCATCTTAAAAATGGTATTGTACCACTGGAAAGGTGTGCCAAAGGAGGCTCAAAGCTTCCTATGAGGAAATGTTACAACTGACCTTTTCTAGTTTAGAAGAAGAGTGTGCATGAGGCAGATATAATTTTATAAACCTGTGTTATATGTCGTGTGGAGAAAGAACAGACCCATTTTGCTCCACTGCTCATCATTCTAGAATCTGAGGCCATTCGATGAACATGTATGGTGGGAAATTCAGGGCAGACAAAAGGAAATACATCTTTATATACAGTCCATAAGTAAACTATGGAATTCATTGGTACAAGAATTGTCCTTCATGTTAGAAGGATTTAAAATAGGAAGGATAACAGTGCTATACACCTAGAGAACACTAGTTATTGGGCAAACTGTAATAAAGAAAGAATCATGATGGATCAGGGGCAGCATCTCTCTGAACACTGTAAGAGGGCCATTGCCCTTGTGCCCTGCTTGTGGGTTTTTCACAGGCATCTGGCTAGCATTTATGGGAAATAGGATGATGCGTTAGATAGCCCTTTGGCCTGATCCAGAAGAACCCTTAATGTTCTTGTGGTCTGACTCTTTAGATTACTAGAGTAAAAATTAACAGTCAAGCTTGCACAGAATTAGTCCCCCATCTTGTTGTTTGCTCAACAACATTCGATCACAGAGCAATGCAGTGTATTCCCCCTACCCCCTTTTGGCTCAGAGCAACTAACTGGCAATTTTTTGAATGTATTATTTCTTTCCAATAGCAAAGAAGGGCTGCTCATTTCTAACTATTAGCTGTTACTTGAAACCTCTTGACAGTGAGTCACCACATGAATCCCACATCTGAAGAAAACCCTTGTCAGACACCAACTCATTTTCCTAGGAGCTACAACAAAGCACTTCATATAAAGTATACAGAGAAAAAAAATACAGCCTACAATTATGAAGCAGGCAGAGGGGTGGGGAGGCATGTAAGAACTCTTTTTAGATCCAGCAACTTTCCTATAAGTTGCAAAGAAACAGAAAGAGGTCACTGGGGACTATATGCCTATTTTCGTAGCTACAGTTGGAATTCAGCAGCTTCACCTCACACAAGTCCTAGCCAGCACAGCCAATAGGAACTCTTGAGAGCTATAATCCAAAGTGTGAAGTTGGGGAAGCCTGGTTTATATGAAACTGCCTTTTGCCGTCGGACCACTGGATGATCCAGCCTGCCATTCCTTTCTCTGGCTGGCAGTGAATCTTCAAGGTATCAAGTAGAGACCGTTCTCAACCTTGATGTTTGAAGCCTTTGCTTACAGGTGCCCCAAACTGAACTTGGAACATTCTCCCAAAACTCAACCCAGAACACAGCTTGAGCTTAAGACCCTTTCTGAACAGAAAGTATTTCTGAAAAGTGCTTGGGCTGTACTCCTGGTAAAGGCACAGGGTCACAGTATGGGTTTGCCATTACATCTGGCTATGGATGCTCAAGTGTCCTTTATGACATGTGGCGTCTTTCACCAGCTAGGGCTGGTACATTAGCTTGTGAGCCCTTCTGGTCAGAGATAGCAAGGACACAGTTGTCCATTTGTGACGTATCCATCACACTTGGATTGCTGGAATGAGGCTGCCTTTGAAGATAGTTTGGAAACTGCAATTTGTCCAAAATATTGTTGCTTAGATGGCTAAGTGGGACTGGCAGAAGAGGGCATATGTTGCCAGTTTCAAAATAGCTGCATTCTCTCCCATTCTGTTTCTGAATACAGTTTGAACTGCTGGTTTTAACCTGTTCTTTTTGTGGGTCACCATGGCACCAGATGTAAAGTGGATGGCAATGGGCTGGAGAACCTTTTGCCTGTGGCAAATCCATTTGGCGTTCTTTTCAAATTTTCTGTGTAATGCTCAAACTGCAAATGTTATGCACACTTACTTGGAAATATGTCTTCCTTGTTTCAGTAAGGTTTAATTTTGGATTTTAACATGAATCCAATGCAAATTTACTCTCTCTGGGTTGTTCAGGGTAGCTTTTTGCAGAAAAACATGAAGTACTGTCACCTTAAAGATTAACAAATTTATTCAGGCACAAGCCTATACCACAATATATATGTTAACATGAAAAAAGAGTGCTTCTTTTCCCCCACCCCAGCTGCTTGCTTCCTATAAAACTATCATCTTTCTGTGGGCTGCCTATTGTTTTTATGTATCACGAACTGTGAACTACTTAATATGTCATAACTAGGACTAATTATGCTTTTAAAAGATACTTTATAACTAGAAAAGATGCAGAAAAGAACAACCAAAGCAATCAAGGGGCTGGAGCAGCTCTCCTATAAGGAAAGGCACGTGCAAAATGACCTGGTTCACATGACGTAACAACCTACTGTGAATAACTAACTATGGTTGGTTGTTGTGGTGGCCAAGCTTAGACCAATTCCTACACACAGTTTATTTTTGAGGTGTTTACTGCTATGGATATTGCCTCTCCCTTACCATTCTAAAGGAACCCTTGAGGCAGGAGAACAGGACTGGGCAAGTGGAGTCCCACTGGGGAACCTGTTGCTACATATGCTCCAGCCCCTTCCACTTTCTTTAAGGCCGGATTTTTAAAAATCATGAAAATTTAAATTTTTTTGGATTGGGAAATATACACAAATTTAATAGCTAGGAAGTAAATGGAGGGAAATCTGTACCACGTCCCTGAGTTTCCAACTGCTCCAGAAGGGGAAGTTATTAACCCACACTCTCTTTTTTACCGAATTTTCTTTAGAGATTACATCCTTCTGTGGTCAATGTAGTTTCCTGACAGTTCTTTAAAAAACGCATAACTTCATCTATATTTATTTCATTTCCATACTGTCCCATAATTGGGCCCTCTGGGCAGTTTACAAGTTTAATAACATGTAACAATACAATAATATTTAGATATGCAAAAACAATAAAAGCAATATAACAAATGTTGACAACCTCCAGCGTTAAGGTAAAATTAATGCACAGCATAGCAGCAAATATAATAAAAACAGAATAAAAACATATCTTTTAAAATACCTGGAAAATAAAAAGGTTTTCACCTAGTACCAAAAAGAGAACAAGGATGGATAGCTCCAGGTGCAGCTCCTTGGGGAGCGTGTTCCAGAGACAGGGTGCAACTGTTGTGAGAAGGCCTTTCTCCTAGTATCACCTCCTTCCTTTTGGAGGAGGTTCCCTTTTCAGGTAGGAACATGCGGAACAAGGCATTGCTTCAGATAACCTGATCCCAAACCATTTAGGGCTTTAAATGGTAACATCAGCACTTTAAACTGGGCCCAGGCTTCGACTAGCAGCCAGTGCTGCTGAATCTTGTCAATTTCTATTTGTTAGCTATTGCAAGGTCTGACAGCTGAAATGTACAAAGACACTGAAAGGCCTACAGGTAAGTACATAGTTGTTTACCTGCAAAAGACCACCAACAACAATAATTTTAAAAATTAATATTGCAGAAGAGAGCTGTAAAATAATTTAAAAAAGAACTCAGGAGCACATTTCTGAGGCTCTAAAAAACAGCAGCAGCAAATGAAAACAGGTAGCAATTAAGGAGAGGGCAGGACAAGATGCCATGAACAGCATTAGGATCCTGACTGGAAGACCAAGGGGGAAGGAGGGTTAGAACAGTAAGTTGAATTGTCTGTTGGGTGCACCATCAGTTGCTTGTGGGCATCCTAGAAACATCTGGCTGCCCACTGTATTAGATCTTGGCCTAGATCTGACAGGACTCTTATGTATTTACTTATATTTCACTCACAACTCTTACGTTTTTGCATGGCCTTGGCCATTGTGTTTATGTTCTTTTCAGTTTTATACTTCGATACTTTAAAACCGATTTATTAACAAGTTCAGCATGTAAGAGCAAAGAGTACAAATACAAATGTCTTGCAACAAGGTTTCGAACAAGACTTAAAACCAAATTGCACGTGCTGATTTAAAAAAACCAGCTAGCGTGCAGCATTATAAAATCGGGGCTCTTTTGCCGGGGTCCAGTCTGGATGGCAAAGGACCCCCCACCCCACCCCCCAGCGCAGCGACTGACTCTCCCAAAGGACCAAAAGGGTGCAATCGTCAAGCCGTGGCTCTACGAGGGGGAGCTCTGGGTTCTCGCCCCCATTCGACCATGAAACTCACTGGATGACTTGGGCCTCTCATCCCATCCTAGCCTACCTCACAGGGTTTTTGTGAGGATAAGTGGAAAGGCACTGCATCACGTGCCTCGCCTCGGCCTCCCTGCGTGAAAGGCGAGGGGGCGAAAGTAACTAAGAAATACTACAATCCAAGAAAGGAAGCGCTCCTTGGCGGCGGCCTGTCGCGAAAAACGAGGCAACCAATGTGCGCACCTCGTCACTAGCCTCTGAAGAAAATGACCATTACGCCGCTCCTCGGCCCCGTTAATCATCTCCGGACCGCGAAGCCGTCGCTTCCCTCGCGCTTTACCTCACAACGCATCACTCCGCACTCTTACCTATCGCCGACTTCATTCTTTCCGTAACGTTCTTGGTTGTTACCGGCGGCCGTAAAGCAAGTCTAGCCCAGCACCCGAGTGCCGTAAAACCGCACCTTCCATTTTCAAGCGCTCCGCCTCCCTCCGTGGTCAGAACTCAGGTAGAACAAGGAGGGGAAGGAAAGCGGTTAATTAACATACGGGTCCAACGCATCTGGGCGGGGACTCCATACGGCCGCTGCCTGCTCGAGCGCGCGCCCTTGCTCGCGCCCGCGCCCAAGGGAGTGAGCCGAGGCGAGCCAGCCCTGCCCCCTCGTCTCCCGTTTAGGTGTGTGGGCGGGGCTTGGCGTGACGGTTGGGGCGCGGCCGTTGGACGGAGAGACAGAGCCGCGCGCGTCACGTCAGCTTAGAAGGCGGGCTCTGGGCGAAGCCTGGCGCTGGGAAGTGTGAGGAAGAGGAGGCGGAGGGGGAGCGGGTGAGTGCGAGGGACGGAGATTGACCGGAGGGCGGGCGCTGCGCGTGCATGTGTGCGGGAGAGACGGAGGCGCGGCGGCGGTTCCTCGCGGAGTACGAGGGCGAAGAGAGCGGACCTCAAAGCGGCGGAGGCGGAGACTGCGGCGAGGTGGTGGTGCTGGTGGTCGCCCCCCCGCCCCGCCCCTCCCCGCCCCGCCAGCCTGAGACGAGGGCGATAAGCCGAGGGATGCGGCTCCCCCGCCCGCCCCACAGGTGAGCTGCGAGCCCCTTCCCCGGGGACCACCTCCCGCCGCTGCGGTGCTGGCGGCACGTCCCTCCGTCCCTCCTCCCCAGCCGCCTGCCGTCTCCCGAGTAGCCTCTGCAGACGGCGATGAGGCGGGGGGTGGGAGAGGGAGAGGGAGGGACGCCCCGGAGCTCTCCGCGGCTGAGCGCCCTTCCTCCCGTGCTCTCCCTCGCGCGGCTCCCGGGTCCAGCCTCGGCACCTGCGGGCGTCTCGGGAGGTAACTGCCGTGCCTTCCCCGCCGCCCAGCTCGGCTTCCTTCATCTCACGGGCGGAGAGAAAGGAAATGCTTGCGAAGAACGGGGCTATTGGGGAAGTGGGGCTGGGTGGGGAATGCCTGATGTCTTGACAGCGTGGGTGCTTGGGTAGGTTTCTAGTCCCTCGTGTCCTGAGAGGCTGGGTGGGAGCGACAGGAGTTTCGTTCATTCATTCCAGGCCACTGGTAGCTTGCTTCGTTCTCCCTCCCCTCTCGGCTTGCTGGTTCTGCTCCTGGATTCCTGCGCATCTTCCCTGTAAAATGCCTGCGAAGGCCCCCGTTCCTCAGTCATTATATTCTCCCCCACTCCAGTTATTTATTTATTTCGTTTTGAAGCTGCTTGCAAGGTCATGGAGCCTTCTGCCTCGCTACCCACCCCCCATCCCTGCGGTGTGAATGTAGTATGAGATCATCCATTTTCAGAGCCCTGCTACAGTGTCTTATATTTCTGGCAGTGTGTGTGTGTGTGTTTTAATGAAACGTTTGCAATGCATGTCTCTAAGGCTGAAATCTATGCTACAGCTGCTCTGTTGTGATCTAGAAGAGAAGAACCCAGGCTGGATTGGCCGATGGAAATAACTTTTTTTCCTTTTAACATGTTTAGGTGGCTTTTTGTTTCTGACTGTCACATTTGATGGTCTTCACTTCCTTAACGACTTCCTCAGTGAAAACTTTTTATTTCACCTTCATTGTTTCTCTTTGCAAGTATATATGCTAGATAAGAAGCAAAGTGAGACTGTGTTCGATTTTGCTTAAGTGGCAGGGTTTGTGACAGTGGCTATGACTTTGTTTAGTTAGTGTGTCTGGTGTGTTCAGTCAGTGCAGCTAGAATGCTGCAGCACAGGCAAATCTGTAAATTCTCTTACATCACCCTGGAGCACTAAGAAGCTGCATCACTGTGAGCAATTAATAAAGGATACAACAGAGTTCTTCTTTTCAGGGAATTTTCAGCCTGATTATGTGGTTGAAACAGTCGAGATAGTTCAGTAAGTAGAGCTCGTATCCTTAAAACTTGAGCATGTGATCATTTTTTGTGAAGTAACCTAGGAACTTGTTTTCAACTGTGAAAAAAACCCCATATATAAAGCCAGTAGTGTTTGTGTTAAATCGTTCAGTGATGACAAACTGTGCAATCCCTATTCTTCTCTTTGCCATGTATATGCACTTAAAACTATTGGAAAGGCACTTCCCTGCTGTAGTCCATGGGTGCACTCATCTCTGTCTTTAGTCCATCTGGGGGAAAGAGTAATGCTATTAGTGACATCAAGTCACCTTTCCCAATGGCCTTACCATTTCTTTCTCTTTCTGGTAAGAACCACTTCTCTTTAATTCTTGAAGTTTTGTAACTCTACTGTTGCTTCTTTTTTTCAGAAACTTGAGAAAATCATTCTTCAGGTTTGTCATAATAGAAATGAAATTGACACAGCTCTCTTTAGAGCAGGAAGAAAGCTTGCACAGGGCATTCCTCCTCTTATTCTCTCCCTGCCCCCATTCTCTAGGGAATGATTGTACTATTAAGGAACTTGCAGGGAGGGCCCTGCAAAGATGAAACTCAGTTCAAGTGCTTTGCTCAGGATTTCCATTTTTAAAAAATGCTAAATATTCGCATATATCATGGTGGTGGTTAGTGAAATACTCCATTATGGCCAGTATACTGTATCACTGATCATGTTTCTTTGAGTTACACGTTATATTATCTTTGGTGAGCAACACATACAAGGATTATTCACATTAACTGTTCATATTAAACTCACAAAAAGAGAAACTGCTTGGAAAAATTTGGAACCTTAAAGTATGAGTAATGTTTGGGTGTTTCATTTTGATTCTGTATTTATTAGAGCAATGAACTAAAGATGAGTTCATCTGCCTGTTCTGGTTCTTATACAGTACTTTTGCCATCCCTGCTCTTTGCTGTATATTCTATAACCTTATTTCCATCAATGCACAATTGTACTCCTGTCAGCTAAAAATGATTAACTTGGTCAGAAGTCAACAGAACAAGCATCAATTTGCAATGATGCTGAGTTATTGCAGCAATGATGGCAACTGTACAGTGAGATATTGTGTTAATTTGTAAGACTTATCTGACATTTCACCTGAGTATTTATTCCAGGTCTTTATCAGCCAATACTTAGGAAAAAGTCCTCACGAAGTGACATACACAAAATGAATGGAACAGTGGTCCATTAGGCAAACCTTGTCAATATATAGCAGACACAGAGAACTGATCTAGATGAGTGAATCTCCAGTTCTTGTTCTGAAATGCAGTAGTAAAAATGACAGCCTTCTGTATTGAAGGGGCCAAGTGAATGTTAAGTGGAAGGAAGTTCCATAATGTGGGGCCCCTATTGAAATGACGCTGTTTCTTTAGGATCACCAGCCTAACTGATTTTATCATCAGGCATATAATTAAAACCTCCCAACACAGACCTGAGACCACAGGTAGAGGCAGTTACATTAAATTAACTTGTTCCCCAAACTTGTAGGGTATCCATAAAGGTAGCCAGTCTAGCAATCTGTTCAAAAGTGATATTGGGAACATAGGAAGCTACCTTCTACTGAATGAGTCTATTTGAACACTGACTGGTAGCCATGGCTTTGCAGGGTTTCAGGCAGGATTCTTCCTTAGCCCTGCAGATCTGGGATCTTCTGGCCCTGTTAAGCAGCCATATTTAGCCCCAGTTAAAGTTTGCAAGGCAGCACCATGTAGACAACACCACGGTATTCTAGTTTGGTGACAGTGCATTAATAAGAGAGACCAGGTCTTTCTAATTCAGGTAGGGCTGCAAGCTTGAGATGCGTGAAGGTTTTTACTCCTGGCTATTACAGGTAGTAGTAAGGAGAAATCTTTTTTCAGTTTGTATTACCATCAGGACCATCTCATATAAATTTTAAAGCAGAAATGGTTAGGTATTGGCAGTATATAGTTATACACAGGTCTCTTTAGTACTAAATACAGTAGAAGAACTCAGGTTTGTGCCTTTTATATATGTTGTTGGTAATTTTCCTAGCCAGTGGTGTTAGAATTGAAAGAATTCCTTAGAGGGCCCAAGGCTTGTGTTTTCCAGCAGCACCTCCTAGTTGCTAGTTGCACATCTCAAAGCTTGGATGAAATTGAGAGGCTTGTCAAAAGCAGTTTCTGACACAGCATGATGCCCAGCTGTTCAAATAAAGAAATGTCAAAAAAAACCCATGGGAATGCACAATCCATTAATCTTGACTAAAGAAGTTTTTAGGATACTGGCCATGGTTGGGTTTCATAGACATTTTCTATGTTAGCGGACAAATAACTTAAATATTTAAGTGTGGCTTGTTTCCATACTACAGATTTAGTTTTTCCTGAATTCCTCACTGACCTGTGTTCTTAATAATGAATATGATCCATCAGAAGTTATGCATTTTTAAAGTAATTTTGGTAGAAAGATAAAACACTTAATGCTTCTTTCTATTCAGTTGAAAAAAGACATAGAAACTGAAGTTTGGGTTATGATCTTTCCCTTTAAAAAATGAAAATGTCAACTGCATGTCCTTAAATTTATGTATTTAACATATAGCTTGTTCCTTCATACTTCATTGTTTAAACCAAGTTTCAGTAAGGTTTCCTGATAGTTTGAAAATTATACCACATGATTTGAACAGTTCCAAAAGCCTATAGATCACTCAAAGAATTAGAACTGTTTATAAGCAATATTATTTGACTGTAAATTTTTCATGAGGCAAAACAAACAGTTTGATACTTTTCTGTAAGCATATTGCTGTGACTATCTTCAAGTGTTGCAGCTGAATTTTTTGAAATGACTCAGTCATGAAATACCATTGACTTTGGTTATTTTGGGATTGTTGCTAATGTCTGCTCCTACAGTGTCATAGCAGCTTTAGTGAAAGTTGTTGTGAAAGGGTAAATATAGAAATGAGTAGAGTAAAAATATTTACTAAGAAGGGAATTGAATGCTTTGTTTCAACTTGGGTCTTGACTAATGAAGATTGTCCTCCCAGTTGTAACTTTGCTGGCATAAGTAGATCTGGAGTATTTTACCTTTTATTTCTCAGGAAAACTTGAGATGGATGGGGGAATTGCATTTTTTTCTTGCATTCATAGCTTGTGAGTATGTGCTGCAGTGATGAGAAAAAGGTGGCAGGCTAGCATCTTGATTCTATAAAAATACTTATATTCTTACATATATGAATATAGTTTTGTTGACAGA